TATGGATCCTCATCAAAAGCCAAAGCTCATATGGTGCCAAGCAAAAGGAAATCAAAATCACAATCACAATCGGCTTCACCTTTTGGGACTTTTTAACTTAGGTGATTTTTAAATGCAAACGTTGTATTATGTATATTTTATGTGTGAATGCATACATTTTTAGTTAGACATGCATTAGTAACTTGAGTTTGAACATTGCTATGATCTGTTCAGTTGTTATCACTTATCAGATTGTTGTATGTTATCTTTTTAAAGGTGTTTTCCTTGAATTCACAACGCAAAAGTCAAATTCACGTTGCGATTTTCGCGTTGCGAATTTGATTTTCGCAAAAATCGCAACGTGAATTTGACTTTCGTAACACGAATTTAACTTTCGCGTTGCGAAAGTGTACCTTCAACAGGTCTTTTTTGCCTTCACCATAATGCAGATTGAAATTAAACAACAAATCAATTAAACAAAAAAAACAATTCTTATTTACACTTGACATCCCCAGATAGTATATCCAAATGCTCCTAACAATAGAGAGCTTACATCCAAATACATCAATTTGTTCACACAGCTCACTTCAGGATTAACCTGCAGAAACGTTATGGCCATGAGATTTTCTACACATCTAAAACCAACAAACAAAAAATTATTGAATTCTAAGTACTTAAACAAACATTTTCAAACCAACAAAGAGTATATATGTTAACAACACTTGCTCAAACTTACTAATAACAAATGGTTATTTATACACACTTTCAGCACGCGGATGCAGGTAGGCAACGTCTCGAATATATCGCTCTAGCCATAAAATGCCGAAACCACAACCCTACTACACCTCTATCTCTATATGTGGAAGGTAGAAATTGTTTACCTCCTGTCGTCATACGTTCCAAGCACATGTATACAAGAGGACCACAATCCCCTCTGGATCCCGCTGTTTGTTGTGGCGCTGTCTCGTCTCTTATCATTGTAAATTTTAACTTATTTAGCTTCTTGTTTTCTGAATTAGTCCAATAATCAATCGCATCCAAGAATTTAGCCAAATGAGCGCTCCATCCCTTATAAATAATATCTTTCAAATCAGACAATGGTATGTAATTCGACATGATGTCATATACTATCGTCTTCATGGATGGGAGCTGAAACTCGACAAGAAGCCAATGAAGACGTTCCATAACAGGGATAAACACCTGCAATCATAAATAATAATTCAATTGCGCACATCAAATAAAATTTATGAACACCTTTAAAATATTCAAAAAAAAATACTAATCTTATCGACCTCCTACCATGCAGAATAAATGATAGCTTTTCCATTACCCAACGCATATGAAGCGTCTCTCTGATCCTTCAAGTGAGCTATGTGAAAATACGAAGGCATAATAGTCCATCGCGTCTTTTTTATTTTCTTCAATTTCCTTATAATTAGAAGACGTGACACCCATGCATCAATATGTTGTTTTATAAAAAAATACATATATTAGTGAATTTAATAAATTTTTTAAAAAAATAATCAAAATGCAATATAAGAAGAATATAAGACTTACCCCCCATTCGAAATAGCCATTCTCTTCAACCCCTAATGAAACACCCCACCAAGACCGATCAAGAAACAAATGCATATCATCGTCGATTTTGTATATATCAGCGTAACACCCCTGGCTCCGCTCATGTAGATAAAAATCAACTGCGGTCTTAGCCCAAAGGGTATTATCCATAATTGTGTCCGATAGTGTTCTCCTCTCCTGCTGAGGAATGATATTGGTCGGTAACTGATACGAAAGCTAACTCTGGTCCATCATACCGGGCACGTGAGGGGCTTTATCAATAAGTCGACATAGTATACCATGTGAATCGGGCTCTTGAACGGTGGTAGGGGTCTTTTGAACGATGAGAGGGGCCTCTTGAACAATGAGAGGGACCTCTTGAACGATAGGTGGGCCTCTTGAACGATGACAGGTGAATCGGGCTTCTTCTTACGGAGTCTTGGAACTATTGGAGTGAAAGGAGACGTAATGGCACGTGCACGACATCTGATGCGTGAACCCCGTCATGCAAGAAAAACCCGACATAAAGCATCTACCTTATCGGGCCGCTAAAAATAAATTAATACATAAATCAGTAAATAAATAAATAAATAATTCTGAAAAAAGATTATTAGCATTTTTAGTATAGTATTAAACAAACTTACCTCATTGCGTAGAGTATGAACCTTATTTTGCAACGATAAAACAATCTCACGTAGAGCGCTACCTCATCACGTAAAGTAAATACCTCACCACGTAAAGCACCATTGTCACCACATAAAGACCGTACCTCATCACGTCATGCACCATTGTCGTCGCGTAAAGTACCGACCTCATCACGCAAAGCACTAACCTCATCACGTAACTCCCCTAACTCATCCCTTGGAGGTGGAGAACAGGGAGATAAATGTCGTGGCATCTTTTTCGGTCGCCTATCATGAGGTGATGGTGGAGAAGAGGCTCGATGATGTGATGGAATAGGTGATGGCTCTCGTTGTGGAGATGTATAATCAGCTCAATCAGGTGATGCCTTTAGGTGTCGAGCTGTAGAATCGGCTTGATTAGGTGATGGCTCTCGAAGTGGGGGGTGCTCATCATCCGTCCCATCAAAAAAACGATTACTAGCTTGCCACCAATTAGTGGCAAGCTCGGCCTCTATGGGTGTCAGCCTCTATAATAGATAGTTTGCCTCCTAACAATATAAAAGCTCAAACAAAGTCAAACGTCTACTAGTAATAACTTGTTTATATATGGTAGTATTTGTGTTAACTTACATCATTCATCGTCGTATATGGTATTAAATCTTCCCAATCCAACAGTAGGATCCTCCTCCAGGTAATAGCCCTAGGAATATCATTTGACTTTTTGATGGCATATGTCCGCATGCTGGGAAAAGCCTCAAATATTCAAATCTACAAATAATATAATACACAAACATTAATTTTAGTAATTGTTAAATAATTATTTATAATTTTGGAAACATTATATAGAAATTCTTACTTTAAAGGCCCAAATAAAGCCTACCAAAGTGTATTTGGAACCATGGCCACGCAAACTACGACGGTCCTCAAAGGCAGTTGACAATTTTTTCCAGGTAGCTTTCCATAGATATGAACCCCACGGAAACACGTTCCATGCATCTAAGTCCTCTACCAATAATATTAAATCCTCAGAAATAGGTTGTCTGCCTTTTTTACCTAAAAAGTCGGCATTTAAAAGTAATAAAAGGCATACTCGGACAACATCAAGATCATCCATCCGAGTAAAACCATCTTTAAGAAGTAATCTTTTACAATCGTCGACATGTAAAATGGGATTCGCCTTTGCTAGCTCAGGAAAAACCCGAAATAACCATGATGGGCGGGCGATATGACTAGTATACCGACCTACTTCATCGTGTCGTCCAAAACGTAGACCAATGATTAAGCAAAACTCCTCCCTCCCAAAACAAGTATACACCGGTGGAAAATGAAACCATATCTCTTCATCACCACGTTGTATCCTCTCGGGTAGATCGTTAGTCATGGTCTGAAGAAACAAATGGGTCAACATAGCATCTCCACCTGGATGTTGTACTTTCAGCAATGGCCTGAAACAAGTTTTCTCAAACAAATTTCTTTGTACAGGTGTAAGTATCGACGCAATTATAGTGGCTAGGCTTAATTTATTCCTTAAAGTCAATGAAGCCGAAAAAAATTCCTAACAAAAACAATAAACATATCAAGTTAGATATACCAAAAACTACAAATTATACACTATAAACAGACATGATATTAAACAGGGAAAATATAGCCAAATATGTTTCAAACTAGCACGGTATTCATCCAAGTCATTATTCTATCATAGTTCACAAAATGCATCAGATAACATTCCAGAAGTAAGCACTTATATCACATTTAAAAGGACAACATATAGGTTTAGTGCAGGTTCAAGGACAACATAAAGAGTAGTAGTTTATTCTTGAAACTTAAATTCGCAACACTGTGAATTTAGTATTTGTCTTTGTTTTTTGGTTGAAGTAATGCAATTCATTCGAGTTTCAATTTACAGAAGAAGAGTAGTTTTTGAAACTTAAATTCGCAACACTACAATGAAAATCGCAACGCGAAAATGAAAATCGCAATGCAAAAATCGCAACACGAAAATGAAAATCACAACGCGAAACTAAAATCGCGTTGCGATTTTCATTTTCACGTTGCGATTTTCGTGTTGCGAATTTAAGTTTCAAAAACTATTCTTCTGCAAATTGAAACTTGAATGAATTGTTTTACTTCAACCAAAAGACAAATACTAACTTCAAAGGTTAAAGACTAAACAGTTTAGCAGTAGTGGCAACAACCGAATGAATTTACTAAGCAATCTAAGTGAAATGGTTAATCTATATATTGAAATTACCAGTAAATTTATCATCAATTTAAACATGAAAAATCTAATAATAATACAAAAATTTCAAAATAAAAATAATTAAAAAAACTAACCATCGGGGATAGATTTTTCATTTTGTGGCCGTGAATGGTTGTGAGAGTGGCTCTGAGAGATTAAGATAGAGGGGGTCACTGGAGATGAGGACGGATGTCGTCGTGGAGAGTGAGAGATGGAGATGAGACTAAGTTACGATTTAGGGTTTTAGGTTATGAGTTACGATTATACTGTTTACATTTGTATTGCGAAATTAATATTGTGTTTCGAATTCGAAAATAAAATTCGCGTTACGAAAATAAACGCGCTTTGCGAATTTGACTTATTTGTTACGAATTTGACTTTTGCGTTGCGATTTACATATTCGCGTTGCGAATTTCAAAACTGAGTTGCGAAATTGGAGTTCGCGTTGCGAATTTGTTGGTCATTTTCGTAAATCCAAAAAAAATAGTTAAAATCGTATATTATAAGGCATTTTCGATCACTAAAATTATTTTATCTAATAGAAATTACACAAATTAGATAAATCTTCCCTTCTAGTCTAAAAGAGAAAATTTCATTTTAGTTTCCTTTTGTTAATTTCATTTCTTTCTTTTCCATTTTCTCTCTCCCAAACAGAAAACCTTAAATTTCAGGGAAAGGAGAAAAAAAGAGCTTTACTTTTTGTAATTGCTTATTCGGTAGTTTTCGATGTTTTGCTCTTTTCGTCTCCTCGTTCTTGTAGCTCAGAAATTACGGTTAGAAAAAGATAATTTCATCCAATGTTTGCTCCTTTCTTATTGTTATTTACAGATCAACGAATTTTCTCTAACTGTGATTCTTTTGGGAGTTGATTTCAGGGTTTTCATTGCCGCTTTTGTCTTAGCACTCACTTCAATCATGGATCATAATTGAACTGATTCAAAGGATTTTAGTTTTGGGAAGTTTCTTCCAGAAAAATTGTCAAGGCATGGTAATTGAGTTACTACTGCTTTTAATTTCTTTTTATGTGCTTCTTGAATGAAGTTGATGGATTTGGATTAATTTATTTTAAATTTAGTTTTTAATTAGTTTTTTTGGATAATCAGTTTCAATTTGCAAATTAATGTTCAACTAACTACTGTATTTAATGAAAGAATACACTGGTATAAATAAAATGTTAACTAAGCTTGAAGTCTAAGTCACTCATTTGCAAAAATTATTTATTACTGATATATGATTGGTGTTATTTGTGAGAGAACTATAGTGCATTAAATGCATTTTGATTTTACTCTCCTTTTTCAATGAATTTATTTATTTCATTGTTTCTGTAAATTGGTTTGTTTGGTATGTTTTGCTTTCCATATAAGGTAAAAGGGTTTAATTTAAGTTCCAAAGATCGGAACGATTTTTCCCTTTTCAGAATAGAATTCGTATTCGATAAGAGATAAGCAATTTACGACTCCGTGTGCTGGATTTTTGGGGTGATTTTGTTTTAAGTACTTGATTTTAATCTTTCTGTATAATGAGTTCTCTTTGTCATTTAGAAATTTTTTATTGATAGGTTTGCACTTATATCATCTCGGCGACTTTTGTTTCCCTTTTATCGATTTAATCTGTTCATGTATGCTTTTGCAATTCTTATATCAACATTTGAATGAAGTAGTGTTGTTCTTGATCGCTTTTTAGTTATTCTTTGATGCATAAAAAGTAAGAAATGAGTTGTTTCTTTTAATTATTCGATTTATTTTAATTTTTTGACTTTTCAATCGTTTTTCTGGTTTTAGGTTTTGGACGGTTACCTGTCAGTAACAATTTGCGTGTGATTGCAAAGAGATGGATCACACAAAAAATGAGAGGGAAAATGGAATGTTCCCTAAGGATCAAATGTTATCGCCGTTAATCGATGATGGCGACTTCGAGGCATCTACAGACGGGGGAGTTGCATTGAAGAAAGGCCCATGGACAGCTGCTGAAGATGCAATTTTGATCGACTATGTGAAGAAACATGGGGAAGGCAACTGGAATGCTGTTCAGAAGCAGTCTGGACTACTTCGTTGTGGAAAAAGTTGTCGGTTACGTTGGGCAAATCACTTGAGGCCGAACTTGAAGAAAGGGGCATTTACTCAAGAAGAGGAACAACTGATTATTGAACTTCATGCAAAGATGGGAAATAAATGGGCTCGGATGGCTGCTCACGTAAGTTTTCAGTTCATTTAGTTTGAATCTAGTAATTCTCTTAATTGGTTAAATAAAAAATTATTAAAATAATTTAAAGTTAAGAATTACATTGAGAAAAAGGACACCTAAAATTTGTATTAAAGCTAGATATATCTGTAGAACTGCCCTGCCTTTGTATATGTGGTTATACTTCACCTTTTCATTCTATCTGAACTCCTGTTGCAGTATATGTCCATTGTTATTCATAAGCAATGAATTAACTGAAAGATCTAAGGTTTAGTAATGTTCTCATTGTGGAATGTTGAAAGTGCTTTTGATTGGTATCCTTGGTTTCAGGTATATGAAATGGAGATGTATTTTTTAGTGTCGTAAGGAATTAAAGTTCAGTAAGAGTTTTAATGTGTCTTCATACATAAGAGCAATGCTATTCTTGGTCAGTTGCAGTGGTCGACATTATGAAAATCCAGCTTCTTATCATGCTGTAGTCTTTTTGTGCTAGATGCAGTAATATCAATTTATACCTTCCAATGCTCCAACCTTCGGTGTCTGAAGTAAGTTTCTCTGTGCTTTGTTATTTTCTGCAGTTGCCTGGTCGTACAGATAATGAAATAAAAAACTATTGGAATACACGGATTAAGAGACGTCAACGTGCTGGGTTACCTCTGTATCCTCCTGAAGTGTGCGTGCAAGCATTGCAGGAGAGCCACCATACCAGTGCAGTTAATGATGGGGCTAAAGGACCTCATGGTATCTTGCAGAACGACAGCTATGAGATTCCTGATGTTGTATTTGACAACTTAAAGGCAAATCAAAATGTCTTGCCTTACTTCCCTAAACTTCCTGGTATATCAACCAGCGGCATGCTAATAAAAGATCTAGGTTCCTCTCAATATTATAGTTTCATGTCACCAACTATCTATTGCCAGAAGCGTCTTCGTGGACCAACAGCATTTTTCCCTGGTTATACTGGTGCTGTTAAAAGTGAATGCCCCTTGTTTGAGCATTTTGAAGATGGTATGCTAAACAAGGCTGCTCAGTCCTTTGGGGCGTCCTTTCCCATTGGAACAGATCCTGCAGCTAAGAACTCCCAGTCATTTGGTGTATTCCAAGGAAGCCATTCCCTTCCAAATGGCAATCTCTCTGCTTCAGAGCCCACTTTGGAGGCTGTGAAGTTAGAGCTCCCTTCATTCCAAGATCCAGAAACTGATTTCGGTAGCTGGGGCACTTTGTCTTGCTCACCACCTTTACTCGAGTCTGTCGATGCTTTTATCCAGTCACCACCACCAAGCGGTGGACTGGAGTCGGATAGTCTTTCACCCCATAATAGTGGTCTGCTGGATGCTATTTTTCACGAGTCAAAAACTCTAAGTAGTGCAAAGAATCATGCATCTGACCAGAGTTCAAATTCAACAACTCCTGGTGATATAACCGAAGGTTCTGATTTCAACATTTGCAAGACAGCTTGGGAAAACTGTGGTGAGCCTCGTTCTCCATTGGTTCATTCAGCATCTTCTCTTTTCAGTGAGTCTATTAGCGCAAGCGGCAGTTCGCCAGATGAACCATCATCTGGTGAAACCTTTACTGGTGAGCATCTATCTGATCTGGACTTGTTAAAACTGAGACTTGATTCACACTTTTCATTCATTATCAGAAAAAGAAGCATCCTTAACGGCATTAAAAGTTGATCATTTGCCTCAAGCAACTTATATCCCATAGCTTCTAGTGATGTTTAAACTATTCGAATTGACATAGAATTTAACTAAGCTTCCCTATTTCTTGCCCCACTTATCGAGTCATTTGTAAGAAACCTTGGTATTACAACACTATCACCATGCTTTATTTTCATTTTGCTCCATCTTTTATATAATCAAAATCGATTACATTTTCACCAGATGTTTATGATAGTCATTGAACTAATATTTCAAGTCTAGTGAAAGAGTGAATCATGCATGATAAAAAACTCAATTATTTTTCTAGGATTTGTTTAACTTGAATTGGATTTTTTCAGAGTCTCAAAAAAAATACGAACCAGCTGACAATGTCTTGACCCCAGGGATACAGAAAGAGGCTCATATTCAGTTGGACAATGGTTGCTCTGATACATTACTAGCTTCTGATTGGTTCGAACAAGGTCCTCTTTACGATCCGGACCAAACAGTCATGGCTGATACCATAGCAACCTTTCTTAGTGATGATTTGAGTAGCGAGTACAAGAATATGGCAGCTGGAACATCTTTTTCAAGTCCAGAATGGGACCTTGGTTCATGTGCGTGGAATGATATGCCTTTTGTCTGTCCAATGCCCAAACTCCCTTGAGATCTGCTGTTGTTTCCTTCATTCAGTAATTGTTTTCGATTCAAGTAGTCGAGCGAACCTGATTTACCAAAGTTCATTTGGGATGAGACTAATATGACGTGAGTCATGGATGTTTGATGTATTGTTTTTGATGAGTTTTTTCTTGAACTATTGGATACTTGTATGCCATTCAGGAACTTTCGGGTATACAAATGTATTCAAGCTGTTGTTATAATTTTGGAATAACTATGCACTTTTAGCATGGAGTCCCGAACAATCATGTTGCTCGAATTCTTCATTTTTCTCCAAGTATTCATATCCATTGAGAATGATTATTTTGATATCTTTTGATTCCATGTTTCCTAATTCAAGATAAACAGATCAACAGGAAGTTAGTCAATGGTTTAAAACATTGGATCATCATCACTGGTATCTTTCATGATCGAGCCCACTGCCTGATGCAGAATCACCGAAAAAGGCGGAAGCGCTCAATGTTTTCCAAATCGTTGGTGATGGTGGAAGCCTAACATTAAAATGACTATTGCTACTTGCAGGGGGCAGTTTCTATGGAGAAGACCGAATCTTCATCACCAGGAGATTGCGATCGTGATTACGGTTGCGAATCACATGAGCCCTTGCTCACAGTATCTTACTGTGCAGGTGAGAAATCTTTGATGCTACAAGTGCTTTCAGGATTCGTTATGTAGCTCAAAGCGAAAACAACCTGCAATGCTTATTGCTGAATAATAAGGATTCGTTTTAGTTGTTTTAATCCCAAAAGATTGAACTGTTACTGTTATCTGTTAGTGCTATTTATTTGTTAAAGACTCCTCATTTTTGAAGAAACTTGTTCAAAACTTACCTTATCCATTGATAATCTCTTCTGAGGATCCTTGGTGAGACACTTCTCGGCTACTCGAACCATCCAAAACAGTTGATGAACATCATGCATATTATCCTTCTGTCGATCAAATCCGGGTAGTTCCTGTCCTTCAGTAGTAGTCTTGCCTGCATGAAAATCAAAATTTTCAGTTATAGAATAACATTGTGACCATTCTATGTATTACTCGTTTTCTTGGTGTTAACTCTTTAGCTCGTAATAGTTGGACCGAGTTTACGTTTTTTTGGATCCGTATCAGTGTCGAATACGAATATATATATTTAAACGTAGTTAAGAATTTATTCAGGTATCGAGAGTTTTACCCATCCAATAAGATTTTTCCTTCCAAGCCTTTTGTCTGTGGTCTTCATTCCGGTGATGAGCTGCAATAGCACAACTCCAAAGGAATAAACATCTGTCTTGGTCGATACTTTGCCACATCCAGCTTATTCAGGTGCCAAGTATCCTGATGTTCCGACGACTCTTGTTATCGTCTCCGATGACTTATTTGAACCTTCATGTTGGGTTCTTGCCAAGCCAAAATCTCATAACTGAAATAGTGAACCGGTGATGGACTTCGATAAGTTGGGATAAAAGAATGTACTTGCAGAAAACATGAATGCAGTTTGAAAAAGAAACCCTACATTAAATTTTCCATAAATTCAACATTTAACGATATGTATATATATATATTTTAAATTAATTTGTGCTGGTCAATTACTAAAATTCGATTTGAGAAAATAAATCAAATTCTACTGATTATTATAGAGCCAAACTTATACAGTTTCTTTGTAATAAAAAAAAACTTATATAGTTTAACCGAGTCGAATTCAAATATTTTCATAATTAATTTGTTTAATTTATGAATCTAGTAGAAACTTTAAATTTTAAGATGTTAATATATATTTATTACTAATTAATACTTTAAGATTCAACATAAATATTTGAGCTAAATATAAAAATGAAATTCAACGAACTCGACCCAAATTATGGATCAATTGTACAAAAACTCAACTCAAATTTATAATTGGGTAAACTAAATGTTTACTACCTCAACTATTACTTTAAATGTTTTACTACCTCAACTATTACTTTCGTTCATTTTAGTCATCCAACTATTTTTTTCAAAATCATACATAAAGTTACGGTTCTGTTTTATTTTAGTTACACACCGTTAAAAAATTAACATAACTATTTTTTTCAGGTTGACCCCAAACTAGCCCAAAATTTGGGGTATTACATTTTTCTCTGAATAAATTGATTTTCTTCTCAATGAATCACAGTACAAACCTTAAACCCCTATTTATAGTTCTAATTCCAACGGTCATCAACGACTAATTCATGGAACTCATCATGCCCACATGACGAGGTATATGGATTAGTTGTTTATGGTCGTTGGAATATGCCCATTGTCTAACGTTCAGTTAACGACTATAATTTTTAAATCCAAAAGGAACTCGTCACGCCCACAGAAGAGTTCGATAAATTTTAAAAAATATAATTATTTTATATTAAAAAAATAATATATTTTAAAGAAATCCGCCATGTTTACATGACGAGTTCCAAGAAATATGTTAAATAATTAAGATCAATGGAGCCCACAAACTTGAGTCTATTAAAAATAATAACCAGATAAACTCACCAAATGAACGTGACGAGTTTGCCCTACCGTAGCAAATGTCATATTTCGCAAATTAATATGTGGGTTGACCTATTGGCTCAATAATTAATCCGCTTGGAATATTGTCCCAATTTTACCACACAGACACCAAAATTGGTGTATTAATTTATTTAGGGTCAATTACCTATTTGGTCATCCAACTATGATAATGTATATACTTTGGTCACTTGCCATAAACTTTACGTAACTTGGTATAATAATATTTTGAGTCCTCAAAATGTATACATTCTATCAGTTTAGTTATAACTATCAGTTTAGTTATAATTCAAAAGTTCTACAATTCAAAAGATTTAACTATCAATATTTAGAAATTCTATCAATTTGGTACTTCAATACCCTAAACTCTAAGCCGCCACTTATTTTAATCATCGTCTGATGTTATCTCCGACGTCTTTTTAAGTCAATAAAATCAACCGATGGCATTTCCACCTCAATTCTTATATTTCTCTTCATTTTTTCCCTCACTGTTTTAGTTTCATTTATCAGCTATGCTTAGGGATGGACATGTGTTGGGTTTGGGTCGACTTGAAAATTTTACATTTTCTACCCGATCTGATTCGACTCAAAAATTTTATATCCTCCACTTGGTTTGAATCCGACCCGACTTTTTGAGATAAAATTCAAACTCGACTCGACCCAAAATAATATTTTTATTCAACAATTATTTTTTTATTCAATAAAAATAGGGATTTAATAAAAAAATATTGTATAGAGGGGTATTATTGTAATTATACCTAAATATATAAGGAAATTTATATTTTTACGGGTCGGAACGAGTCAGATATTTTTCACCCTAAATCGAACCCGACCCGACCCAAACACAACCTTTAAAAAACCTGACTTGACCCAAACCTGATTTTTTAAAAAAAAAACTATCAGATCAAATTAGAACTCGTCTAATTCGGATCTTATGCCCATCCCTGTTCCATCAAGTTTTGTTATGTATTTGCCAGTTTTTTTGTTTCACTTATCTGTCTGCTGCATCAAAAATTAGGGATGTAAAAAACTGAACTCAAAACTGACTTGAGTTAAAACTGTTTATGACATGAGGTTGTGGTGATTCAAAATCGATTCGAGTCCGAACTGGTGTTGATCTGAACTCAAGTTGGGCCTGGAAATTTACGACATGCACCTGACCTGTACCCGAACTGAGAAAGACCTGAATCCAAATTAAACCTGATAATGTGATAACCGAACCTGACCTGATATGAACCTAAACCCGATATTAACCCGGTAAATAACTGATATTACCCGACCTGTTATCGAGTTGACCTGTAATAAACCTGATATGTAATTTACTCAACCTGTAAATGATCTGACCTATTATTAATTTGAACTGATATTTACTTTACTTATAAGTTACAATTGATGAAGTTGTGATATTTTAAATTTATAATAAACTATAATAATTGATATGATTACTTTTTAGAAGTTAAAACAAATTGTTAGTTATGATAATTTTTTTGACAATTAAATAAACTATGATAATTAATATGGTTTCTCTTTAAAAATTAATATAAATTGTTAGTTATGATAATTAAATTAATAAATTTACTCTCTAATTAATTATAATCCTTATATTATAAATTATAATAAGTAAATTAATTTCATTAAATAATTAATTTATTGAACATGATTTTATTAGATTATATAAAATTAATTTAAATATTTTTAAGTTGAATTTATTTAAATGTTTTAATTAATTAATAATTTAAATATAAATTAAAATTTTGAAATATATATATAGAAGATTAATTTACTTAAGTTTGAAAATTTTAAAATTTAAAATTTAATCAATAAACTTTTATATATATATATATATATATATATATATATATATATATATATATATAGATATATATATATATATATATATATATTAACATGAGTGGTGGGATAACTTTTAAAAAGAAATATTGTTTTTGAGGGGAAAATTAAATTTTTGAGAAGTTAGAAGAGATAAGAGAGAAAATTTGATTTTTATTTTGGGAATTTAGAAAAAAGAAGGAATTTTTTGACAAATTTTTCGGAATTTAAAAAAATAAGAGGAAAATTTTTTTTTTTGAAAAAATTTGGGTATTTTTTAATTCTCAATAGATTTTTTTGGGTTAATTAGAAATGTGATACTCTAATAATTAGTAGTTTTCTATTTTATAATTTAGTTTTTAATTTATTTCATTGTATTCATGGTCTAATTGTAAATCTTTTCTTTAATTTTTTAATTCAATGCAATTTAGTAGTGTATATATTCTAATTACTTTTAATTTTCCATTCTTTCTTTAAAGTGCACAATTATTAAATGTGAATATTAATTTTATAATATTTTATTTTTAGTCACTTATGTTTAATGATATATATATACATATATTATACTTTATACTTATATATATTTATATACATACCTATATATAGATACTTTTATATACATGTGTGTATGTGTGTAATTATATATATAGGTATAAGTATATATACTTATAAGTGTAATGCATAGTTATATATATTATATATTTTTATAAGTATATATATGCATTATAATTTGTCCTCAACTTCTAAAATAAATGCAATTCAGTTCATTTTCATATTTTACAATTATTTTGGATTTGATCCCTACATGTTGTGTAGTTTATTTAAATTTTAATTTGTAATTTCATATTTGTTCAATTTAATCCTTAAAGTTATATTTGTATATGAAATCGTCCCATACTTATTTATATTTTGATTTTATGCCTCATACATTCTTATTGTTTAATTTATTTAAATTTTTGTATGTAATTTCTTATTTGTTCAATTTAGTCCTTAAAGTTATATTTTTATTAAAACTGACTCACAATTATTTATATTTTTTTTTGTAATTTACTCCAAATCATATACAATTAAAAATTATAATTTGTCGTTCATGAAAGACGAAAAATTATTAACTCGAAAATGACCCGACCTAAAGTCAATTCGTACCATGTACAATCCGACCTGAATTTGGCATGTCAATGATATGACCTGATCTGAACGAGATCTTACATGAATCTCATCCGAACCTGAATTAAAATGGAATTTAGCTAATTTGGACCTGAACCGTTTTGACCTGAACTAGCATCAATCTGAACTGAAATTAACCTGATCCGAATCTAAACTGAGTATGATGGTAAAATCAACCTGAAAATGACCTGAATTGATTTGACCTAACCTGACAAGATCCGACTGAAATCTGAACGATTACCTGATTTTACATTCCTATCACAAATACGAGTAGTTTGTTCATCTTCCACTAAACAAGCTGATACAAGCCCCACTGATGCAGCAAATACGACTCATTACCCTGCAACAGCTTTCATGTCTCTCAACTGGAATCCTTCCTACTGATACGAGGCAGCCTAATTAAAAATATACGTATAATCTTATATTAAGAATAAATTTAAAATATTTAAAAATGAATATTGATTATTATAAAAAAAATATAAAAACTGTTAAAATATATAAAAGTTTAAATTTTAAAAAAGCACAACCCTTCCCTCAAATGGGTTTGACAAGTGAGCTGTTAAATGCCCTGAAGTAGAGAGCTTGAAAGGTGCTCTTGAGGGACGACGACAAGACTATAGGAGGATTTGGGTACCAGAAAATCGAATTGGTATGACTTCTTATTATTACAGGTCAAATATTTTGAATTAAAATTAAATTGGAAAAATATATAAATTTTGAAACTAAAATAAATATTGTACTAAGTTATGTTAACAATGGTAATGATTTTGATCGGATCAGGTTTTTAGTTTATTCGAACCGGGTTCTAGAGAGACCTCACTTGATTTGAAATTCAACACAATTTTGAGGTAAAAACCCGACCGACTCTCATGATATATATATTATAAAATTTTTATTTTTATCAGATAAAATATAATCTAATTTAAAATATAAAAAGGTGAATTAATGCAATTATTCTCAAATATATAAAATAATTAAATTATTTTTCTTGAATCAAATCAAATTGAATTTTTTTATCCTACAATTAAATCCAATTCAACACATCAATAAAAAAGCCTTTAATTGAAAAGAAAAACATGATTTTATAAAACCAAGTCAAAATTTATCAGAATCGAATCATATATCTTTGACCCCCATCATAATCTTCCTTAACGATTGAAACTAACATTGAATGATGGAAATAAAATAACTACATAATTTTAACAATACAAATAAAAAGTTTAATAACTAAAGTAAAAAGACGATCATAAATTGATGACCAAATCGATATATTTACTAAAATTGAGGTCAAATATAGAAGCCATTGTCTTTACAAAATCCAAGTATCTTACAACTATAATTTCCTTTTATCGACGCTATATATTTTAATCGTTTCAACAAATGTTTCTTTATAATCGGTAGTTTGGAACAGTAGAAGTGTGGGTTTCCCCAATTATTTTTGTAGGGTTTTTGTGGAGCAGATAGCGTTACTGGTTAACAATTTCTATCGACAAGTCTTTCAATTTCCCCTTTTTTTTTCTTGTTTTTGGTTGCGCTGATTCTATCGGAAGCATGGGAAGAATGTCGTCTCAGATGAAGAAGGTTCCCTTTTGCTTTTTGATCCAATCAAATCCCTAGCTTTCCCCCTTTTATCAGATAAAATATAATCTAATTTAAAATATAAAAAGGTGAATTAATGCAATTATTCTCAAATATATAAAATAATTAAATTATTTTTCTTGAATCAAATCAAATTGAATTTTTTTATCCTACAATTAAATCCAATTCAACCCATCAATAAAAAAGCCTTTAATTGAAAAGAAAAACATGATTTTATAAAACCAAGTCAAAATTTATAAGAATCGAATCATATATCTTTGACCCTATCATAATCTTCCTTAACGATTGAAACTAACATTGAATGATGGAAATAAAATAAATACATAATTTTAACAATACAAATAAAAAATAGTTTAATAACTAAAGTAAAAAGACGATCATAAATTGATGACCAAATCGATATATTTACTAAAATTGAGGTCAAATATAGAAGCCATTGTCTTTACAAAATCCAAGTATCTTACAACTATAATTTCCTTTTATCGACGCTATATATTTTAATCGTTTCAACAAAATGTTTCTTTATAATCGGTAGTTTGGAACAGTAGAAGTGTGGGTTTCCCCAATTATTTTAGTAGGGTTTTTGTGGAGCAGATAGCGTTACTGGTTACAATTTCTATCGACAAGTCTTTCAATTTCCCCCTTTTTTTTTCTCTTGTTTTTGGTTGCGCTGATTCTATCGGAAGCATGGGAAGAAATGTCGTCTCAGATGAAGAAGGTTTCCCTTTTGCTTTTTGATCCAATATCAAATCCCTAGCTTTCCCCCCTTTAATTTTCGCTAACGAAAAGTTTATTTATTTTTATTTATGTGTTCAATTCTTGCAGATGAGTTGGAGGTCGACGAGGAAGGAGAGCCCATTGAAGGAGAAGGTCTCAATGAACGTGACCCTGACGAGGAGGATGAGGATGATGGTATTACCTCGTTTTTTGGATCTAATTTATTGTTTATGAACTGCAGAATGGTTTTCTAAATTTTGGGTTTCTGCTGTTTCTAGCTAATTTTTTAAGAGAAATAATGAAAAGGCAAAGAAGATTAGGGCTAAATGGCATGATGGGTATTCTATGTGGGTTTTTTATAAGGTTTTTGCTAATGGTTATTGAATTCATTGTAGTTATTTATTTATTTATTTTGGTTTTAGTTAGTAGATCTAATTTTTCGTTTCAGAACTGGGAATAATTTTGTAATCGCTGAGTTCTTATTGTTTTGTTTATTTTTTTTGAGAAATAGGGAAAAGGAAATCAAAATTAGGGCTAAATGGCATGACGGGTGTTACTTTCGGATTTTTTTGTTGTTCTTTTTTATGTTTCTTGAATTCTGCATAGTTATTTATTTATTTTTTATTTGAGCAGAAGAAGGTCAAGATGAGTATGAGAATGATGGATTCATAGTTGATGATGTGGAGGATGAAGAGGTAGATGAAGATGAAGAGAGGGAAGATAGCGACGAGGAGAGGAGGAAGAAAAAGAAGAAAAGAAAGAAGAAGTTAATATTTTTTCCTTCCTACGATATGAGATTGCTACATTTATCCGAAAGAAAGAATGAATGTTATTTATTGCATTTTTTTTTTGAAAGAAACTTATACGATGCTGTTAGGTCCTACAGCCGGGCATCACAAATTTCTGATGTTTGTATCAATTCTTTCAGGGAAGCTGAGGACCTTGATGAAGATGACTATGAGCTGCTCCGGGAGAATGATGTTAATGTACCAAAGGTTGTAAGATTTTGTTCCCTTGCCTTGATGAAAACATGATGATTGCTAATTTCTAAATTATCTAATCATCTAAGTTTCCAAATGGAAAATTTTACATCATTTAAGTTATTTTCATTGTTGTTGAAATAATGTTAGGGGTAATTCTACTGATTGGTTTTATGACCTGTTGAATAAATTTCGTTATAACAATAAAAAAAAATTAAACTGAAGATAATGGTTCGAATGATGTTTTCTTGCATGGATTGGTTAACTATTTATTTGAGGTTTATGGTGTATTTTTCTTTCAGGGAAGCAAGAAATTTAAGCGTTTGAAAAAGGCTCGTAGAGATTTCGATGAGGCTCAGTTTGGACTATCCGATGACGAGTTTGATGGAAGCATGAAGGGGGGTGCAACTGCTGAAGAAAAGCTTAAGCGTACTCTATTTGGTGACGATGATGGTTTGTTCATTTAGCATATTGTCCATGATCATTAATATTTGGATGCAGTTTTGAAGAACTGTTAATGGTTGGCATTCATAATGTTTTAGGACAACCACTTGAAGATATTGCTGAAGATGAAGAGCCCATAGAAGAGGAAGAAGATGGAGATATGGGTGAAGAAGATGAAATGGCAGACTTTATTGTAGAAGAAGATGAGGAGCATGGAGCTTCTGTTAGGTACAACTTGTGTACTGCATGATATGTACTTATGCTGTCCTTTTTATATATAATTTTGGACTTTGGAGTTCACTTTATTAAATAACTTGTTTTATAGACGGAAGAAGATGAAGAATAAGAAGTCGAGACATGCACCAGATGTGTCATCATCTGCTTTAAAGGAAGCTATAGATATCTTTGGTGATGTGGATGAACTCCTGCTGCTACGGAAACAGGGCTTAGATTCTGTTGAGCAGAAAGAAGGGAAACTTGAAGATCAATTTGAACCTACTGTTCTCTCTGAAAAGTACATGACTGAAAAGGATGACCAAATTCGAATGACTGATATTCCAGAAAGAATGCAGGTTTGTTGAGAAGGTTTTAAAAATGTTCTAGATATATATTTTCCTTTATCACTCCTAATACAAGTTGTGATTGGCTTTACATTTATTTTTCCAGATTTCGGAAGAAAGCACCGGCCCTCCTCCAATAGATGAACTCAGCATAATTGAAGAGAGCACCTGGATATATAACCAACTTATAAATGGTGCTGTACCATTATTTGGTATAGAAAGGAAGGATCATTTTATAGACAAGGATGACATTATGAGATTTTTGGATCTCACACATGTGCAGAAATTAGATGTTAGTACTTACTAACTTGATTGATTAATGACTAATCTGTTACTCTGGTTTATATTTTCTTTGTATTCTAGCATTCTTTCTTGCTTGCAGATTCCCTTTATTGCAATGTATCGCAAGGAGCAGTGCCTTAGTCTGCTACAAGATCCCGAGCAACACGAGGATAATGATATTGATCTGGATAAATGTGAGAAAGCTCCTACAATAAAGTGGCACAGGGTAACTGGACATGTCATGGAACCATGAATATGTTTATTGTGTATCTAATCAAGCCATAATTTAGGAGAAGGTTTACTTTTGTGAATAACAACCACAATGCTTCTGTTTAGGTACTTTGGGCAATTCAGGACCTTGACCGAAAATGGCTGCTGCTTCAAAAGAGAAAGAGTGGTCTCCAGTCACACTATAATAAGCGGTTTGAAGAAGAATCTCGTCGGATATATGATGAAACAAGACTTAACTTGAACCAACAGCTTTTTGAGTCAATTCTTAAAGATCTCAAGGGTGCAGAGTCAGAAAGGGAAGTCGATGATGTTGATGCCAAGTTTAACTTGCATTTCCCACCTGGGGAGGTTGGTGTTGATGAAGGTCAATATAAGAGGCCCAAGAGGAGATCTCAATATAGTATTTGCAATAAGGCTGGCCTGTGGGAGGTTGCAAGCAAGTTTGGATACAGCGCAGAGCAACTTGGGGCGCATCTATCTCTGGAAAAGATGGTGAGTATGATTTTTAGTTTCTGTTACATTGTATTGAGATTTAATGATCTTGCTTCATTTAATTGTAGGAAGATGAGTTTGAAGATGCAAAAGAGACACCCGAGGAGATTGCTTCAAACTTTACATGTGCTATGTTTGAGACTCCACAAGCTGTCCTTAAAGGAGCAAGGCATATGGTATACATGGTTATTCTATAGCAAATACTGTACTATTTGTTGATCATAAATCTTGTACCATGTATAGTTATTTATGGTTTTAATTTCCTAGGCTGTGGTTGAGATTAGCTGTGAGCCTTCTGTCAAGAGATGTGTTCGCAATATCTTTATGGATCATGCTGTAGTATCAACCAGCCCTACTCCTGATGGAAAAATAGCCATTGATTCTTTCCATCAGTTTGGCGGTGTGAAGTGGTTGCGTGAAAAACCCTTGATCAGATTTGATGATGCTCAATGGCTCCTTATCCAGAAGGCTGAAGAGGAGAAGCTTCTTGAAGTAACTATTAAGCTGCCTGAAAAAAATCTTAACAATTTGATTAAAGAATGTAACGAAAATTATCTTAGTAATGGCGTTAGCAAATCTGCTCAACAATGGAATGAGCAGAGAAAGCTGATACTACATGATGCTCTTTTTGGTTTTCTTTTGCCCTCAATGGAGAAAGAAGCAAGGTCCTTGTTGGCGAGTCGAGCTAAGAACTGGTTACTTTTGGAGTATGGCAAGGACTTGTGGAATAAAGTTTCTGTGGGGCCTTATCAAAGGAAAGAAAATGATGTTAATTCCGATGAGGAAACTGCTCCGCGAGTCATGGCTTGCTGTTGGGGCCCCGGGAAGCCAGCAACCACTTTTGTGATGTTGGATTCATCTGGGGAGGTGCTTGATGTGCTTTATACTGCTAATCTTACATTGCGGTCTCAAAATGTGCATGACCAGCAACACAAAAAAAATGACCAGCAACGTGTTTTAAAGTTCATGACTGATCATCAACCACATGTTGTTGTTCTTGGAGCTGTTAATTTGTCTTGTACTCGTTTGAAGGATGATATCTATGAGGTACGCTTATCATTGTTGTGATGTTAGATATTATCGCCTTGCATCTAAAATGATTCTTGCCTTTATCTTTTAGTTTTGTTTTCTTTAGTAATAGACAAAAGTTCTTGTTTTTGGTCTCTACTTGTTAGGTTGTTAATCTTTGCTTTAATATGCCTTAGTCTATATAGTCTTGAGGAGGTAGATTATCCTTCATCAAGTGCATGAATCATTTTAGAATTTATAATTGTTTTTGACTAAAGATGATTCAGTCGGATTCTGAGTCTAATTTCTTAAAGCTTTGAGGAGGTAGATTACCTTTCATTGTGCTGGCCAAGTGTCCGGTGATCAATGTGATATATTTCTCATATGGTTGGTCGATTTTTTAATGTTGCTTATTTTGTTGTTTTCTGCTATATTTCTCATATAGTTGGTCGATTTTTGAATGTTGCTTATTTTGTTGTTTTCTTCTTTACCAGATTATTTTTAAGATGGTGGAGGAAAATCCTAGAGATGTTGGGCATGAAATGGATGAGCTGAGCATTGTGTATGGGGATGAATCTCTACCCCGGCTCTATGAAAATTCTAGGATTTCGTCAGATCAGCTCCCTGGTCAGTCAGGTAAAATAGATTCTCATATTCACAAAATAATACCCATCTTTGTGGAACTTTTTCCTAGTAAAATTCTTATCCATCTTTGTCTGTTGAAGATGTTTTGTCTTTTATTATGAATGATGCCAGGCATTGTTAGGCGGGCTGTTGGGCTTGGGCGCTATCTCCAAAATCCGTTAGCGATGGTTGCCACTTTGTGTGGACCAGGGAAGGAGATACTCTCCTGGAAGCTTAATCCTCTGGAAAACTTTCTCACAGCTGATGAGAAGTATAATTTGGTTGAACAGGTTTTGGTTGATGTCACAAACCAGGTGGGCCTTGATGCTAATTTGGCTGCAAGTCATGAGTGGTGGTTTGCACCTTTGCAATTCATTTCTGGTCTTGGGCCTAGAAAGGCGGCATCACTGCAGAGATCACTGGTAAGAGTCGGAACAATTTTTACGAGGAAGGACTTTCTGTCTACCCATGGACTTGATAGGAGGGTGTTTGTCAATGCGGTAGCCTTTCTGCGTGTCAGACGAAGTGGGCTTGCTGCCAACAGCAGCCAGTTCATTGATTTGTTGGATGACTCTAGAATACATCCGGAATCTTATCTTGTTGCCCAAGAGTTGGCCAAAGATGTTTATGATGAGGATCTTAAGGGCGACAATGACGATGAGGATGCATTGGAGATGGCAATAGAACATGTTAGGGATCGGCCTGGTTTGTTGAGAAGGCTTCGAATTGATAACTATCTTAAAAGCAAAAGCAAGGAGCGGCAAAGTAAGAGGGAGACCTTTTATGATATAAAAAGGGAATTAATTCAGGGTTTCCAGGATTGGCGTAAACCGTATAAGGAGCCAAATCAGGATGAGGAGTTCTTCATGATTTCAGGTGAAACTGAGGATACCCTTGCAGAAGGCCGAATTGTGCAAGCTACGGTACGCAGAGTGCAAGGAGGGCGAGCTATATGTGCACTTGAATCTGGATTGACTGGGATGATTATGAAAGAAGACTATGCAGATGATTGGAGAGATATGGTCGAGTTATCTGACAGGCTGCATGAAGGTGACATACTGACCTGTAAGATTAAATCAATTCAGAAGAATAGGTATCAGGTGTTCCTGGTTTGCAAAGATAGTGAGATGAGAAGCAATCGACACCAGCATGTCCAGAACCTGGATCCCTACTACCATGAGGAGCAAAGTAGCCTACAAAGTGAGGAGGAGAAAGCTCGTAAAAAGAAGGAGCTGGCAAAGAAGCATTTTAAGCCCAGGATGATTGTCCATCCACGCTTTCAAAATATTACTGCTGATGAAGCTATGGCGGTATGTAACAAGTAATGAATCTCTTAAGTTAGCGAAGATTCTGTTGAATTGAATTTATTATATAAAGAAAAAAAAAACACCCATAAATACACAAAACTACCCCTCCCCCACCCAAGTTTTGTCAAGGGGTGTGTGCAAAGACAATGTATTTGTGCCTTAATGCAATGCACCATAAGCATCTCTAAACCCATTCGGGTAAGGCACATTGATGAGGCGTACATGAGGTGCATAGAAGACGGCAGGCATAAAAAACCTGTACCGTTGAAGCTCTTCAATTTATTCTATTTTTAACTTTCATTGTTAATTCTACTCGTAAGAATGGGCACATCAAAATCTACTTCTCATTTCTTGAGTATTCAACCATAGACATGGGATCATAAGGAAACCATGCATACTAGACAATGTAAGAAAAGGATACCTAGCTTGTTTTGTTAAAAGCATATATATATATATATATATATACACACACGAGACATACAAATACAGACTAATATACTTGAATCACCTTGAGTCAGACGAGTGTTGTTTTTTGCATCTTGTGCCTTGGTAATATTAATGTTCTAGCACCTAGGATGTGCTTTGCACCCTTGACAACACTGCACATCCCTATTGATTTAAATCTTTTGTGAATCTGTCGCACATCAGGCAGCCTTTTGGATGAATTTATAATCCAAGCTTGCTTTTGAGTTTTGATTGCTTCAATTGAATCATTCTCAATGCTTCCTTTTCTTCCTTTTACACTTATGCTTATTTTGGCTTTTAATATGTTGGACAGTATTTATCTGACAAGGAGCCTGGAGAAAGTATTGTCCGTCCCAGTTCTCGTGGACCTTCTTATTTGACTTTAACTCTCAAAGTTTATGACGGTGTTTATGCTCACAAAGATATAGTTGAAGGTGGAAAAGAACACAAGGACGTCACCAGTCTGCTTCGCATTGGGAAGACATTAAAACTTGGGGAAGACACTTTCGAAGACTTGGATGAGGTAGGTCTATCTTGAAAATGCTTTTTTCCCTGATATAGCCCTTAAACTTTGAAGGGATGTGAATTAAGTGGAAATAAGCAAATAAGCATAGTGCCGAATGAGAGTTAGGTTGCAGTGGGAGTCTTTTCTAGTTGTAAAACTAACTGATTATAAACTGAAGGATGAACTTTGGAATTTCACCACATGGGTTAAAAAATTAATTGTTATTTTATTGTATCACCATACAAAAAATCTGCCTGTCTTTTGAATTTTAATAAATTTCGAGGTACTCTTTTCCTCCTTCCTCTACTTTTTGGCATACCTTGTCGTGTGCCGAAAAGTATGAAGGGGTTTTTTTTAACGAGATCACCTACTCTTATAAAAAAAAAAATCTGCCTGTACATGCTTTAAATCTCGAGTTCCATTAGACAATTCTAAATTTGAAATTAATTATTGTTCTCGAGTAGGAAAAATGTCATGGTTGGCCCCTTTACTAATAAACTGATAAAACTTTTACTATAATCTTAGAGAGATTAGCATATGAGATACTATGTTGTAGAGGCATCAAAATCCATGTAATGGAAATGTGTGTTGATTAAATTTAAATTGCAGGTAATGGATCGGTATGTTGATCCCCTTGTTTCTCATCTGAAGGCAATGCTGAGTTATCGTAAGTTCAGGAGGGGAACTAAAGCAGAGGTTGATGAGCTTTTAAGGATTGAGAAATCAGAGTATCCTATGAGGATTGTGTATTGTTTCGGCATTTCTCATGAACATCCAGGCACTTTCATTCTTTCTTATATACGGAGTACAAATCCGCATCATGAGTATGTCGGCTTATATCCCAAGGGATTCAAGTTCAGGAAAAGGATGTTTGAGGACATTGATCGTCTAGTTGCATATTTCCAGAGGCATATTGATGATCCACAACAGGAGTCGGCTCAATCAATTAGATCAGTTGCAGCGATGGTACCAATGCGGAGCCCTGCTGCTGGAGGTTCTGCAGGGGCATCTACTGGTGGTAGTTGGGGTGGTTCAACCAATGAAGTTGGTTGGAGAGGCCAATCTTTTGACAGGGGTCAATCTTCCACCCCAGGGTCAAGAACAGGTAATCTTTCAACATGACAATTTTGGATGTGATACAATTATTCAAATTGATAAAATATTTCTTGTTTGGTTATTTTTTGGAGAATTATTGTTGGAATTTCATTTTTTGAATAGTATTATTGAGGTAAATATTAAAAATATTATTTGTTTAAAAGTTGTCTATTTAAAACTATTAATTTTTAATACTAATAAAAAGGTCACTCCTACTCAAGAAAATCATGGATAATTGTGAAGTTCTGCTTGTTCTATGGACAAACTTTGAGTTGAACAACTATGAAAAGTGCAAACATCTAGATTCTGCTGCGTTTACGTTATGCATTTTGTACATTCAGGTGTTTTTCCCGTCCCTGGGTTGTTTGTCTACACCTTTTTGTCTAATCTTTACCACGTTTATTTGTTGTTATAAGGCCGAAACGATTACAGAAATAGCAGTAGCCGAGATGGGCATCCAAGTGGTGTACCACGGCCCTATGGTGGGCGTGGACGTGGTAGGGGTTCATACAACAGCAGCAGAGGTCATAACGAGGGGCAGGATTCATCATACAGCGAAACTACGAAACGGGATTCAGTTAACAAGAGAGGAGAAGATAGCTGGGGTAATTTCCCAGGTGCTAAAGTTCAAAACTCTCCAGGTAGGGAAGCTTTCCCTGGTGGCTGGAGTGGTAGTGCTGGAACCGAAAGTGGAAGTGGGAGTGTTTGGCAATGACTGACGATGACGATTCGTCCACAAACGTAACCACCGTGGCGTAGGTGGTTGGTGAAGACTGAAGAGGTGAGCAATGTATAACCTTGGTAGGTGCAGGGTTTGGTTTTGAATTAAGTGTTGGATTTGCTGACTGAATAATACATTGAAAACATGTACTTCATAGCATGTATATGTAATGTTATCCATGTACCGATTAAACGCTTGAGTGACTAAATGACATGTTGAATCATACACATGGCCAATGTATATTTTTTGTCCTGAATATTGTTTCTCAGTATCAGCCAAAGATGAATTTTATTTTTTTATTTATAAAAACTTACCTTTTAAATATGGTGAGTTTTCTTCAACAATTTCATTGAATTCGAGATGTACGATGATGACGTAGATGATGCTTATCAATTTCAATAATATAACACTCTTTACATTCAAATTATTACTATATTTTTAGTAAACATGGATGAATTATGAAGTATAATGGAAAAGGAGTTTTCATATGCCTTGATAGACTATTTTCTTAAATATTAAAATTCTTTTTTTCCCAATTGTCAGCAAAATTGATATATATTAGTATAAAGGCATTATTATTTTAAATTTATTTGTGATTTTGTTTTCCAGGCGATATAAGTACATATTAGTTTATCTTCAGTACCATGATAGTCGTCATTCTAATATATCAACATGGAAACTCTTGCAAGGTTCATAGCAGTTTGAGTACACATCCCTTTGATTTTCGTTCATCTTTTTCCAAGCTTCATCTTTTTCCAAAGTTTGCTTCCCCCTTTATTATTCTTGATTCATTTATTTTTCTCCAATTAAATAAATACAACACTCCAATCAGAGATTAATATACGTCACAATCTGATTAGAAGATTAAATTTATTGAGTTAAATTAATAAAATGTGTAAGTATGGAAGATCAAATGTGTAATTAAGCCAATTCTATTAACTGTCATGTTAATTCCTCCTTCAAATGTTAACATGTGGATTGATCGATATCATTTAAATAGTTAAATGATAATTGATAAAATTAAAAGATCGATAGTTAAATTAAAATATGTCCATAGTTCCGTGGTCATAGATATAGTTTACCATAGTTTTTCTAGTTAGATCAATGTCAGTACTAAATTTCAGAAATTGAAAGAAAAGAGACTCAATTCCTATTAACATTGAAAGGAAAGGACTAAGTTCGTTGGAAGACCAACGAATGATACGAGGGTAGTATTCCTTCATGCCTCTTTTGTTATATGATGTGTTGCCAAATACGCATGACCAAGGAGTACAGGACCCGATTTTGAAATCCAGGCATTCTCAATCTACTCTTCTAATAATTTTAAAATAAAATGTTAATAATTAAAATGTTTCAAGAAAATAATTAAGATTCAAAATAATTATTTAATCAAATATTAAGAATTTTTTCTCCAAATGAAATGTTAGAAACTAATATGCTAAAAAAATTCAAAATGATTTTTTTTATCAAATAATAATAATTTTTTGGTATTATACCTAAAGGAAAAGGAAAAAAAGTCACTTCGCTGTAAAGGGACTCAACTATAGTCAAAAAATCATTTTGACCATCAATGTTTTAATTTAATCAATTAGGCTATCTAACTATTTAAATACTTTAATCAATCCACTGACCGTTAACTTTTAAGGGAGAAAATGAAATGGCTGTTATAATTTAACTGAGGGAATGACATCTCAATTAATTTTTTGATTTAATTATATATTTAGTCATTGTTACTTATTTAAGAGGTCAATTTGATCTTAATTTTAATTAAATTTAATAAATTGATCCTCTAATTAAATTGAGACATATGTCAGTCTCTAACTAGATGGTTAATTTTTTTTTTTTTTTGAAAAACTCTAAATTATTATTATTTTTCAAAATAACCCAAAAATCTATCTAAAATCTAAAAAAATATTCCAAACTTTTTCAAGTCTCTAATTTCAAACACCCATTACCGTTGCAGGTAATAGTCGACACCTTCTCCAAACGGTCACCCACTCGTCGCCGACCACCTAGTGACCGACCGTTGCCCTTGTAGTTTCAGTTTTTGGAATGGGTGCCGTTGGCCTTGCTGTTGCTGAAGATGCAAGGATTTGTAAGGCATTTAGGATCATCGTTGATCTGAATCCGAGAAGATTCGAAGAAGCTAAGAGGTTTGGGATTACAAAGTTTTTGAATCCAAAAGACTACGACATGATCCATTTGGATGCTTAAGGAATTAATGTTGCTGCATATTGCTCTAAATTACTCATCACCCGTGTTGCATCTCTCTTTACGCTTGCTTTACCCATTGCAACCCCAAACACAGATTCAAGGATTTTCTTTCTTAAAGAAAGTGAAGATTCAAATGTTTTTACTTTGTATGAATGTTAAAGTTAAAATTTGGAATTTTTACTTTGTGTGAAGATTCAAAGAAAGAAGACAATCGTTTCTCAAATTGCAGTTATGACCATCCATTCCCTGCTAATTTTGCCATCTCTCGAATCTCTTTCATTCATATTTCTTCATCAGATTTTTTTGTCATCTCTTTCACTGTAAGTTTGGTTTTCACTCTTTTTTTTATCCCTTTGAACTTTCTCTATTTTCTCCACTAATCCATTAATCTGTAAATTTGGAGATTTACGGGCGACAAGAAGGGGGTGGCCGGCAGTAGAATCCGACGAACGATTGATAGGCGGCCGACGGAGGGGGTTGGCGGGGAGACCAGCGACAGAGTTGATACTGTGGGTTTAGGGATTTTAGGGGTCCTTTTGACATTTTAGTAATTTTTGTGATTTTTTTCTAGATAATAATATTTTTAAGTTTTTTAAATAAATTATAAAAATGATACATGTCATAATTTTTGGGATTTTTTCTAGATAATAATTAAATAAATTATTTATAAATTTAACTATCAATTAGAGACAGACATGTGTCACAATTTAATTAGATCTGATATGAAGTAACAAGGATAATTTGACATCATATGTAAGTAACAAGGACCAAATATATAATTATTCAAAATGTTATATGAGATGTCATTCTCTTAATAAATTTTAAGATATTCTCCGTTAAAAATTAATGATCAATAGATTGAAGTGTGAAGCGTTTAATCAAAACATAATTAAAATAATTTTTGATCATGACCATAATTTTTGACCATCTGAGATCGCAATATAATTTTGGGTTTGTATTTGATGGAATCGTAATAGCATGATATAAATTAAATATCTTAATACATGCCATATCAATTCAATACTTAAATTAAATAAGAAATTTGAACGATTCAATTTGGAAAAGATTCAAATAAAGTTTAAATTATAAAATAAGACAATCAATTCGATGAACTTAAATTTTTTAATTTGATTAGACTTGACTTGAACAAATACTAAATTCCAGGGGTTTAAATAACGACAATGGTTGGAATAATAGCAACCGATATATAATGGGAAAAGTGCCATCCGAAACAATTATTGCACAACATAATACCTGCAATGATCGTAATAACATATGCTATTTTTGCAATTGCAATAAACACAATGAAACAAAAAACATAACTACAACCGCAATTTAAATCTCTGCTCACTCGTATCCATATACGAGTAAATTTGCAACTAGCATTAACTTATATACTTACGCTGAAGCACATCTTAGCTCTTCCTGGTGCATGGCTTGGACTAAGTTGAAATCAGCAGGCTCTAAAATAATGGGAATTTTGTCCTTGTTTTGCCCATACACATCTGTGAACTATCTAGCTTCCATTTCCAACCTTTTCATCCTCCAATTTAGAGGAAGCTCCAAGCAAGCATCAAAAAGATACCGGTCGTCGTCATCCGGCTTCGAACATTGTTTGAAAAGTTTAGCTGCTGATTCTCTTGCATTCTCCAGGTTTTTTTCACCTTCTACTAACAGGTATGAAGCCTCATGCAGGCAGAGGCGGGGCTAGAGGCAGCACAACTTGTGCGACAGAACAGCGTCCCAGAATAGTAAGGGCCCCAAAAAAATAAATTTATTACAATAAAATTCTCATTTTTTTTTGAGTCTAACTCCACTTTACGAGAAATGAGCTTATCTTCATGATCTCCTATCCACACCGTTAGGATTTGAGTTAATAATATCACCAATCTCCCTATATATATGCATTCAAGCTTTGCAATTTTTACTAAGAAAATTATAAGATCTAGAAATTCAATAAAAATTTTAAAAATAATTGAGATTTAAGGGATTCCTTTTAAGAATTTACACATGTCCTCCAACGTCCTAACCCGGCCTGCATGCAGGTTGAGCAGTCGCTTGCAGTCGTGGGATAACTTGCTTTAAAGTTTCCTTCCTCATCCATGAAACTAGAGAAAACATTTATTACATGTAAAATGAATTTAATTATTATGTAAACTAAGACATCCGAGTTTGATTAATCTTTGTTGTTTGACATAATGACAAAAGGAAAATACCTCTAAAATTTGATTAAAATTCGTTTTAGCCTCTTCTTTTTTAGCATTTCGAAAATTGGCTATAACGTTTATTTTGGGGTAAAAATGCTCCCTCTGCGAATAGAAATTATTTGCTAACAAGTGGTCAATGCTCTAAAATAGGGCATTTTTTGTCCTAAAATAAAATGATGTCGTTAGGGGTCTTTTTGTACTAAATAAAAGATTGAGGACCAAAATACTCCAAAAGAAAGGGAGTAAGGGCCAAAATGCTCTAACAAAAAGAATAAGGGTTAAAGTGTTTATTTAATCAAACGTTAAAAGTCTTTTTGTCCTAAAAAGAAACATTGGCAGCAAAATATTCTTAAGAAAAAAGAATAAATACCAAAATTACTATTTAATCAAATTTAACACTTATTTTACATTATGGCTTCTTGATTTTACCTTGGTTGACCTGGTATCCATGTTGTATAAGCAGCCTAAATTCAAGAGCTGTAGCATATAAATTGTGTTTCTTCCGTGCAAGAATGCTTGGATCATCGGTGTTTATAATATTCTTGAAAGTGGTGGTTATCTCATGTTCAGTGTGATGGGACAATCCTAGTCTTGGAAAGGCATCAATAAGCTGAAGTTTCTCCAATGGATGGATCCACCGCATTATCAGCAATCATCCTCACTTCTTCCTTGACTTTACTTGCTCCTTCATCCTAAGAGCACATAGGGAAGAAATGAGTCGTATACATTCACACACAAGCATACATACCTCGAGATAACCATTCTGAAGTGACTGAAGATACTCATAATCCCAAATCGGAGGATGGTAATCAGCGGATCATCGAACGACGACGTCTTCGCCATTAGTTTTGGTGGTTGTAGCTTCAGTTTGTGAAGCACAAGAAACAATGTGCAAGCTATGGAAGCTTGAGATGGGTTTCCTTTGTGGCTGTTTGGGGAAGGTACACATGGGGAATGAAGTAAACAGGCAAGCCAAGAATAGATATAAATGGATAGACATTAAAAGTTCTATTTATTTCAACTCATTGGTGGACTGGAGTCTACGGCATCAGACCCAAATAGAACAGGAAACGTACTCTCCTCTGCTCTCGTACAAGAAATGGGGAAAAGTACGGCTCCTTACTCAAAATTCATGTTAAAACTTGGAGAGAAAAAAGAGACATCAACAGGTGTAAGCTAAAAGGTGTTAGTCATCCTGAACCCTTCAAATTCTTCAATTGTTGGACTCTTCATCCTGAATTTATTAATATTGTTAGTCAATCATGGAGTATGGCAGCACAAGGCAATCCTATGAAGTCTTTATTCTTAAAGCTTAAACGTCTCAAAGTCAATCTTAAACAGCTCAATAAAGACTACTTCAGTGACATCACGGCTCGAGTTAGACAAAAAAGAGAAGAACTCGAAAGGCAGCAAATTCTTACTTTAAGAGGTGTTGATTCCATAGGAAAAGAACTTGAGTTGCAGAGAGAGCTCAACTCTTTACAAGAAGTTGAGTCCATGTTTTTAAAACAAAAGGCTAAATTGCATTGGCTTAAGGAGGGTGACAAATGCACAAAGTTCTTTCACTCAATCATTGCTACAAAGAACAAGAGACAAACTATAAGGGCCCTTGTCAACAGTCGGGGGAAAAACTAGAATCATTTGATGAAATTTCCTCGGAAATAATAGAGTATTTCAAAAATCTTTTAGGCTCCAAGGATCCTAATGTTAAAGAATGTCCTCCTACACTTCTTAAAGAGTTGATGCAGCCTATTTCTTTCTTTGGAGATTCCGAAAACCTTATCAAGGAAGTTACTAGTGATGAGATCAAAGATGTTATTTTCAGTCAAGGCAACGACAAGGCCCCCGACCCCGACGGTTTTACTTCTCTTTTTTAAGAAAGCTTGGTCAGTGGTGGGCAATGAAGTTATTAAGGCTATTAAGTACTTCTTCCAAGAATCTTATATCTATCCAGCCTTTAATGCAACAGTTATTGCTTTGATTCCAAAAAAGTCGAATCCTAGCAAAGTATCTGACTTCCGTCCAATTTCATGTTGTTCAGTTATTTACAAGACAATCACAAAAATTCTTGTCAATAGAATGACAAATATGCTGCCAAGGATTATTGCTCCTAATCAATCTGCCTTTGTCAAAGACAGGAGTATTGTTGACAATACTCTTCTCGCTCAGGAAATTGTTAAAGGATATGGGAGGAAGATCATTTCGCCGAGGTGTGCACTTAAAATTGATCTTCAAAAAGTTTTCTACTCCATCAATTGGGACTTCATTCATGTTGTTCTTAAAGCTTTGGATTTACCTCCTTTAGTCATTGAATGGATTGTATCTTGCTATACGGACGATAGATACTCCATTGCTCTCAATGAAAGCTTGGTTGGATATTTCAAGGGAGCTAAGGGAATCAGACAAGGAGACCCTCTATCTCCTATGTTGTTCGTTCTGGTAATGAACATCCTTTCTAATATTCTCGATAATGCTGCTATCAGAGGGATTTTTGCCTTTCATCCTAAATGCAAAAAAATTGGACTTACTCACTTGTCGTTTGCTGATGATTTATTAATTTTTTGCAAAAGAAACCTTGAGTATGTTATGGCTGTTATTATTGCATTGGACTGTTTCTATGAGTATTCAGGTTTGAAGCTTAATGCAAACAAATGCGAGATTTTCACTACTGGTATCTCTGCTAATAATCTTGATTCTATCATCAATTATTCTGGTTTTAAACATGGTACACTGCCTGTTCGCTACCTGGGGGTTCCACTTGTCACAAGAAAACTAACTGAAAAAGATTGTCGAGCACTTCTTGACAATATCAAGAGCAGACTCCATCAATGGTCTAGGAAGAAGATGAGCTATGCAGGTAGAATTGAGCTTATTAAAACCGTTCTCTATAGTGTTGCAAATTTTTGGTGCAGACAGCTTGTCTTACCTCAGTCCATTATCAAGAAGATTGAACAATTATGTTCCAGATTTTTCTGGAAAGGTTCGGACATTCCTGCAACTAGCGCAAGGGTGAGTTGGGGGAAAATCTGTAAGCCTAAATCTGAAGGAGGCCTCGGACTAAAGGACATAAAGACATGGAATAAGGCATGCCTATTTCATCTTACCAGGAAGCTACTCGCGGGGGAAGGTTCACTATGGGTTGCGTGGATCCATAATTACATAATTAAACAGCAAGATTTCTGGACCATGGATGAACATCCTAGTGCAAGCTGGTGCTTCAGGCAAATGCAGAAAATCAGAAGTGTTGCTAAATTAGTTCTAATCTCAGCATCAAAAAGTACAAAAGAAATTTGGGAAGAGATACGTCCTAAAGACACTAAAGTCCCTTTACATAAATTGATCTGGTACCCTCTCCATGTCCCGAAGTACAACATAATTTCCTAGATGGTTATTTTGGATCGTCTCCCCACTAGGGACAGACTACAAAGATTTGGGCTTGTTACCAGCGATCTCTGTATTTTCTGCTCGGATGCAAAGAAAACTAGAAATCATCTTTTTGCTGAGTGTGTGAAGACTACATCCATTTGGAGATCAATCCTTCAAATGTCTGGTTTGAACAAGCATTTCTCAACATGGAACAATCTGCTGGAGTGGGCGACCGCATCATGGAAAGGTAAATAACTGATTTCTTGTATTCTGAAGCTCTCATGGTGCGCTTTTAACTACACCATTTGAGAGGAAAGGAATCGTAGGACCTTCAGAGGAAGTTGCAGAACAGAACCAGAAATTGTCTATGCTATTAAGGATATAATTGGATCTCTTCTAAGTAATAGAGATACTAACAGAACAGATAGCACAAATTTAGACCTTTGTACTCACTGGGGCATAGTCTAGCTTTGTTGTAAGTAGTACCCCTCCATTGTTCCTTTGATTGTTTTGTACTGTAGCAGTTCGAGTCGACTCTGACCAGTTCAATTCACACTGCTTCTCCAAGTGTTTTGGAATACAGTCAACAGAATGTTTGGTGCCTGCACTAGTGCCAAGTCCTCTGCACTTCGGCATAGTTTGCATACGCAAAAGAAATGTGGACTTACTATTAATGAATATCTAGATAAGATTAAGCTCATTTGTGATATTCTTAATTTTTCTGGGAGCTCTGTTCCGGAACAAGAACAGGTGAGTGTGGTTTTAGCTGGGCTGCCAATGGAATTTGAATCCGTGATTGTCATTGCTTCTAGAGAATTGGTGTCCCTCGAGGCTCTTACCGATATGCAGTTAGAGTGTGAGGCTCGAAAAAAGTTGTTTCTTCAAGAAAGTCTTCCGGTTCATGCTAATTTCTAGAGGCCATTTATGGACCAACACTCTTTTCCAATGTAAGGGATGATTTTCTTTTTAAAAGATGTTGACACTAAGAATAACTTCATATAAAACAATCTCCATAACTTTGTTACAAAAGTTTTTTTATTTCTAAAGGTTACTTGTTGGCCTTTACCTCTTTTTGGGGCAACATAATCTCTATAATTTGAGGCTCGACTCTCAAAATGATCATCAGTAAAGTCGTCGAGTTGTCAAAATTTTTTTTATGGTAATTCGATTTTGTTGGGTCCTCAAAAATCTGTCATGCGGATAGTTTCATCATTGATCATTTTAGATCCTTAAAAAGTCTCAAAAATTTTCTTTCATTTTTTACTTCTCTTTTTGAAGTCGTGGCTCCCATTCGCGTAGTGCTTTTCTGTTGTGTAGCTGTAATGTGTGTTGGCGGTAGTTAGTTCACTGAGTTTAAATAGGGAAAGACTTGATCATTAAGAGGAAGAGTCAGATTTTTAGAGATTGGAAGAGCAATTTTTGGCTAGCTGAAATTTAGAGATTGAATGGATGCCAGAGAAATTTTTTGAGGGATTTCCAGGTCCGGTTTGATCAGGTTAAGAGAAGAATTCGGGTTTGATAACCTAAAGAAAACATTTTACGCACTAAAAAATAATAAAGAATATATTTCATAAAGCCAATTTCCCATTCCATTACAACCAATAACATTTTTATCAATTTTATAAATTATATTTTAATATTAGTTTTCGAATAATGATAACAACATTTGAACTTGGATAAAATAAAATTTAACTGTCCAAACCATGCACAGTTTTAATAAATATGCAAATATTATATTCTGAATTTCACAAATCACTTACCTCTTTTCAACCATAAACATTTAGACTGTAGGCACACGCAATTACAACAATGAACCAAATTAATTAAAATAAAAAAAAGAGCGATAAAACAATAATTAAAGCTTCAGGGATAAATCAATTTCTGAACCATCCTTGTATTGATTATCAGTTCTCACAGTAGTACTTGCACTTGCAGCAGCCCTGTTTACTGCACTGGTTGAAGGTCCTGAGATTCCAAGTTCACCGTTGTTAAAGCTTAAACTTGGCTGTAAAAAGCTCATTAGGGGTTTCCGAGACGATAAACCATAGGGAAGATGATACGGTCGAGATAACGACGTCGGCCACGGGTGCGAAGGTTTACGAATCATGGAGTTGAATTGAACCCCGAGGGCTGATCTGTCGAAAGATCCGTGAAAAGGGTTGGAAGAATAGGACGAAAATGAATGATAGGCAAAGTTTGGGGGACTGAAAGTGCCAGATGTGTTCACTTCGATCAGCCCTTGCCGACGCCTCTTGGCCAAGGCACGTTCTTGCTTGTGAGCGTTTTGGTGTCCCCCTAATGCCTGAGATGTCGAGAAAACTCGCTTGCAAAAGTTGCATGAGAAGCCCTTGTTTTTCTGATCATCACCCTGAGGGTTCCTCTGGGCGAAAATATCGAGTTCGATCTTTGATTCGCGTCGTTCCATGGTGCAATCACTTCCGTTGCCGCCATCATGACTCGAGAGCTTCAGATCAAGCAAACCGTCGTGATTCGATTCAATTTCGGTACTCGTTTTCGACTGTGAAACCGATCCTTCCATGTCTGCTGATATGCTTGAATGTTCTGCAAGATCTTCAACTATTGTAACCATTGCCAGCTTATAAATTTCTTGATTTTATGTGAAATACTGAGAGTGATGATATATATTCATACATCAAGGGCTTAATTTATGTAATATCATGCAATTATGGAAAGAAATCCGAGTATGAATTATTTACGTGAGGTAATTTTACCTTCTACATCATTAAATTTAATTTTAACTTTCTTTAGATCATAAACTCTTAATTTAATTAAATTATATCATTTAATTTTTATTATCAATAAATTGAGTAGTTCTTACTAACACCATTAGATAATTCTAACGAAACTGAATTGAGACTTTTATCTAATATATTTTTATATATCATTATTAAACAATGTTTAATTAAGAGTTTAAATAATTTTATGTTATAATTTATAAAAAGATTAGTTCTTTTTCTTTTGAATTTACTGAAATAAGATGTTTGATAAAACTTAAAAAATTATTTAAATTTTTAATTAAACTTTATTTGATAATCATGAAAATATATTAAATGCAGCGTCAATTTCATTTTGTTCGTTATAATTATTTAACGATATCAGTATAAATGATTTAATTTATTAATAATAAAAATTAATAATTTAATTTAATTAAAACTAAAGATTTATGATCTAATGAAAATTAAAATTAAGTTTAGTGATCTAAAATATAAACTATTTTGTTACTTGCATCATTTTAACACAAGATTTAGAAACACACTAAGCACTTGTTCAGATTTTGATACCTTTGAGAATTATTATTATTATTTCCATAAAATTCTTCTTAATTAATGTTATTGTTCAAAGTAATATATGAGCACAACTACCTAAATAATAGGTGGAATTTCTATAAAACGATTAAATTAAATTTGGTGAACGTTCATGCATGAATCTTTTACCAAATTAATGTTTACATATAAAATCAAGGATATTTACCTCTACTTAGAAATTATACCATTTTTATAGTAAATAAAATATATATTATAATATGTAAAATTTAATGATTTTAAATATACATCATGAATTAGCATTTATGTATACTTTGTTTGAATGTAACAGAGAAGTTCCCATATATGTAGTTTATATAGTAACAACTCCCCTATTTGCTCTTTCTAATTTCTATCTTCCCTAACTTACCATAAAAATCATGATTTTTTGTTTAAAAATATCATGATTTTATTAAAGAGTCGTGTAATTTGGTGATAATTGAAATGTTTGTAGAGGTTAATAACTGAACTTCAAATTTATGATTAAAACTCGACCTCATTAAAAAGAATATAATAAAAATTTAATGTGGATATTATTTAAAAGGGTAAATTATACTCGTAACCAGTTACTTTTAATACGATCACTATTCTTTCAAATTTATTAATTAAACTGTTTAGTTATTTGAATTATTTTAATCAAGTCACATGTCGCTAATATTTGATAGAATGATTGACTTGGCAACTAATATAATTGATATATTCATACATTTTATCTTCAATACTCGTTATATCAACTTGATCCTAATTTTATTTTAATTCAATAAAATTAATGGCAAATGGCTTGATTGATATTATTTAACTCAAACGTTGGTTTTTATGTCAAATGTTAATGACAAAGGGCTTGATTGATATTATTTAAATAATTATGTAGTTTGATTGACATAATTAAAAGATCGATAATCAAATTAGAATCTCTCATAGTTAGGTGGTCACGTGTATATTTTACCTCATTTAAGAATGGTGATCAAACTCCTATATGCTTTGATTTGAAAGTAATAAATCCATGGTTTTCTTTTGATTTATTTGAGACTAAACAAAAAGTTATGTAAACGTTATCAATTTGTTCAATTGCATTAAATCTCAATTTCAAGGATGTGTTCCTCAATTCCACCTTTTACTACGTAAATTAGTTAGACTAAAACACGAGTTTTAAGAAAAATATAAGGATAAAGCAACTTTTAATCACTAAATTTGGTAATTTTTCAACTTTATCCTTCATTTTTTTTCACATTCTCTGAACTTGACAACTTGTTTTTACATTTTAGTCCTTTTGATAAAACAACACCATAAGGTTGTGATATAAGCAGTATCTGATGCTGTTATATCATTAAAACGACCAAAAAAACCCTAGTCCAGAGACTGACGTGGATCGGGAGAAAAAATATTAAGGACCAAATCGAAAACAGTTGTCAAATTCACGATGTAAAAGTTGATTTATCCTAAAATGTATAGTATAAAGTATATACTACATATAGTTTTAATCTAAATTTGGCAATGAAGTTCCTCTAATTTGTGTGATTCGCAAGTAAGGAAACAGGAGTTTAGAAGGTATAAATTAGGGGAATAGAGATTTAAGTCATTAATTAATTTTACTGTCGTTAAAGATAAGAAGGAAGGTGGTTAAAAGTAAATTATAGCAACATTTAAGATGTTACCCAATTTCGTCTGAAAACCTAGTTGCCATCAAGCTGTTCTTCCTCAAATTTAATCAAAATTTAATTGAAGCTGGAATCTGATTTCTTTCGTGAATTCAATACCTATGTTAGTACACTCTAAACCTTAATTTAACTGTAAGACATGAACCCTGAAATTAAATAAATATATCATTCGTGCCACTCGTCCAATAACAAATTTTATTTGGGTTCAAATTCGATTCATATATTGATGTTGTTTTAAATAGTCTGAGATGATTATAAAATAATATATGCTTAGAATTTTTTTTACCATTAACAACGCACATACATCTTACTTATGTAATTGTTCGAATCCAAAACCTCTTATAAAGATAACATTTCCCTTTAACTACGAGAAGAAATTCAAAACCTTACAATATAGGCTCTTGTATGGTCCAAATTCATAATGCATTATAATGATTGTCCATTTATATTTAGCTATGGCATGAATCAAATTTTCTCAGTGATTAAAGGAATGATTGTTATTCCCAAAGATAACGAGTTCGAGCACCAGCGATTGCAGCAGGGTGATTGAGTGTTCATTGTCAAATGGTTGAGAGTATATAGAATAGATACTACTTTGTAGCCATACCTAACATTTAGATTTAGTTTTATTTAAATTTCATCATAATGACACATTAACAATTTTGTTAGTGTTTTAACAATGGGTGACCAAAATAAAATCAAAACATAACTTTAAGTATGGTTTAAAAAATAGTTAGGTGACTAAAGTAAAACAAAAGTGATAATTTATCACTAAACATGTAGTTCATCCTATAAAATATTACTATAAAATTAACCTGGCCGCTCTCTTCCTTTTTTTTTCTTTAGAGTTTGTCTTTTTTACATATCAAATAAACTTTTTCTTCTTCAATTTTGTTTTCTTCAATTTTGTTTTCTTCAATTTTGTTTAGTCGGCGGAGGTAACGATATTGATACTAGTTGTCAACCGTCGGTTCTCTTTTTTCTTTATTTCCTTTTAGTTTTTTAATAAGAATAATTTTTTAGCATGTTTTTTCTACCTTTGTAGCACATTTTTTGTCTACTTTCTCAGTCATTTGATCGTTTTTATTATATTTACTTAGAGTTGGATTTGATGACACCACAAACTAATCAAGATAACACTTGTTTGAAATTTTATTTATCTCCCTTGCTATGGACCATCAGACTAAATTTGGATACACGAGTTAGTTGATATCTATTTTTTGTTCGAGTCTTTTAGTTGAATTTTTAACCTTTTTCATATATGGTGTTTATATGATCTAAAGTGACAAGTTAAATGCTATAGGAAAATGTTAAATATATGTATTTTGTTTACAATGTTACTTGTAAACTCTTATAATTTTAGATATTTTCAATTTTTAACAGTTTCTATCAATTAAAAAAGAAAAAAGAATATACGAATTCGACATTTTCTTAATGTGGTTGTTTTCTTTTGAGCATTTTAGTACCTCAGCTTGACACTTTTTCCTAATACAACGCTTCTTTTTTAGTCCAATTCCAAACCTAAACTAGTAAAATGTTACAAAATTGATTCATGAGTAATGTGCATTCAATTGAGAACTTAAAGGGGGGAAAATTGATTTACCCCTTCTGTTACCCTCGATTACCAGTTAACTATCGTTCCACTTAATACAACGGTTTAATTGGTTATTTTTCTCATGAGTTCAATTAGGTGTAGAATAGAAAAATGTGCCAAAGTGATGATAAATTTTACAAAAAAAAAAAAAAAAAAGAACACATGCTTTCCAATGTATTATGCATTGACCCAATTCCAACAACCAAAATTCCAATAAACTGCATTGTGCACAGAGCTGATGATCCAATTATTTCCAGGAGGTTGTTTGAGAATGCTTGTATTCCTTCTTGTTTCTCCTTTCCGTTCATATAAAAAGATTTAAGTGGTCATATGTATCTGTCTCGCCATCAGCTCGGCAGAAGGTTAGAGGATTTATATAAAATGTTAGATTCTTAAAAACATTGTCCATGGCACCAAAAAAACTGCAAAGAAAAACACCATATTTCAAGAGGTCGTTACATAATCCGAAGATTAGCGACATTCATAAAAGGATAAGCATTCTTACAGACATAGGATTGACAGAGGAGTAAAGGTGAGCACATGATACTAGATTCAAACTATTTCTACAATCAAACCCTAACTATTCTCAAGATTAGAAACATCCCTATAAAGAAAAACATTCTTACAAACATAGGTTTTAAGTAATTTTTAGATTCAAACTCTAACAATTTACCATAACATTAGCTTTCAAGAGTGGTCGTGCTCCATGTGGTTTAAATGATAAGTCCCTTCTCTCTTTTGGTGTACCTCCACCTTGAACTTCTCTTCCTTGTCTCCTCTCTTCAACTTCAGAAGCATGTTGAGTTTAGCAGAATCTTCCAATACCTATTTGCAAATTCAGACACTTAGCACCCAAACGAAACCACAATTGCTTTCACAAAGAATTGAGTTTAAGATTGTTTCAACCGAATGCTTGATTGATTGTCAACTAGAATTGATAGTTGAACTAAACCCTGAACACCTTGAAAGGTTAACAAAATTTTCAAACAGAATCTAGAGTACAACAAAAAAAAAATGATGATGAATCAGAAGCTCATTGATAACTTTTTCCACGCAACTGAAAAATCTCTGAAGGGTCATATTATCAAACGAATGTCACGATATTGGTTGAACAGAGAGGATGTACACGGGCGTTCAACAAAATATGAAGAGACTTACTAATATAACCATTCTTCATGAAATATCAAAGAATTAAGCATGTAATGATGGTTATAAAACATCGTACAACACATTCTCAATCATCAAACCTGCAACAACTATTCTTCTCCAGAAGCGAAAATAATATACATGAATTTGGAGCCCTTGAATGATTACATTATATGCTCCAACAGTTGTAAGATTCTCAAACACCACATTCAACAGGATGCAGTAAATATCTACTTCCGAGTTCCGACTTTGGATCACATTAAACAACCATACATTCAAAACAAGACAACGAAACAAGGGAATAGGAAAAGTTGTTTGATGCTTACTTCGGCATTGGCATGAACGATTTCTTTAAGTTCATAAGGCAGCATGGAATTGGATCTCTGTTGTATGCTCTTCACAGCATGATCCGCAGCATCCCGAACTACAGGATCGTCCGTGGCCACAGCTTGCAGCATTGGCTCAGGGACACCTGATTATAATTTAGATACAAATTGTCAATAAAGTTACAAATGAAACTATACATAAGACTAAATTACTTGTTAAAAGTAATCATATCTAATTCCCTAACAGTGTTATATATTTACATACAATCAATAAGAACCCTAGTTTTTAAAGGATATTATAAATACTTTAATCTATTCACAAAAACATAAATTCCACAATTTTTCAACAAAGAACACATCTAAAAAAATCTCCACTATTTTAATCCGCTTTCAGCAATCAATGAATCTTCATTTCAAAGAAAACCCAGTAATCTACTACTAAAAAATGTAATTAAAAAAAGCTGAGAATGAACGACCTTTATTGGCTCCCAGATCCGAAGCGGTGAAAGAACGGGAATCATCAGCGTCACCAGCATGTTTGAACTCCTGCAGTTCTTTAAAGTCCATCCAAGGCTTAACCCAAACTTTAGCCTCATAAAGCTTCTTTTTGCCGGCATCCATAGCCTCCAACGTCAAATGGTGAAGCGTCCCGGCCACCACTTGCTCGCTTGCTTTCACGAGCCTCACAAACTCGACCATCGCATTTCCTTTCTTGTTGTGCTCGTCGACGGCAAAGCGAGCGAGGTTTTCCAGCTCGGCGCTGTTTTGGGATTCCTGGGAAGGGCGGACTCCGCCCAAAGTGGTGGTTGTCGCCATTGAGTCAGAGCAGAAAGTTGATTCAGCTGAGAAATTGCTGAGGAAGAGGATTGGGATTGCTATCGAAAACAAAAGGGGTATTAGAAAATTGGGATTTTGCATTTCGGTGTGAATTGAAAATGATTTCGGATGAATTTGGGGGAATTTTATAGTGATTTTAGATTAAAGCTTGGCCCGAGGGAATGACAGATCGCAAGGATTTACACGTGTATCGTGAGTACACGTGTCAGTTGAAATCAATGATTATGTAATTTGGATATATACCATAAAATAAGGCTTAAATATAAAATAATGTGCAAAACGAAGAAGTGATTAAAGTATTTTTTTTTTATTTATCTATGAACGCTAACATTTTAGATTTTCATCAATGGAAGTGTTTGCAATTTGATAATTTTAAAAAATTTATTTAAAATTAAAAAAATATAATTATATATATATATATATTTTTAAATTAAAATAATCTCAAAACTTTGAAAACTGTCATTTTAATCTCTAAATCTATGTCGATCGTCACTCTTTGCAGTCAATGAAGATTCACCCGACCTCACCTCCCCTTGACGATCAAAATCTCTGTGAAATTGTGACTGATCGACAGTGAATCGACGTTTTACCCCATGAACCCTATTATGAAAATCGTGATCTCACACGATTTCAATGGTTAATCAACGACAACTACGACAACGTATGCTAAGAGGATGGTAGGGATCATGTCGACGACGATGATCGTGGTCGAAAAGGTAAATGACGGTGATTGAGGTTAGAATTTGAGGATTTTATGAGTTTTTTAAGTTTTTTTATAATTCAAGAGAAATCAATGTTTTTTTATAAACATAATAATATTTGTAATATTTTTAAAAATAAATAAATTTCAAAATCATCATATTATGACATGTTTCACGTAATGGAAAAAATTAATGTTATTGACGGTTTGAACACCTAAAATGGTAATGTTTGTAACGTTAGATACTGGGATGAGTAAAAAAAAATACATTAGACACACATATATATATATAAGGAATATTTTGAATACTTATTTTATATTTAAGTATAAAATAAATAAATTTTTATATTAAAAATACGTTCTAGTTTTTAACCCTTTTTTAACAACTTGTCATTATTTTAGGATAAAGTTGAAATTATATTTTTTATTAATCTATTTTTTAGAATAAGATATAGAATTAAGTCATTAATTTAAAATAAATACTACTTTGTAATCATCTTAGTTTAATAAAAAAAATTAAGTCATTAATAGAAACAGGGTAAAGTATAAAAAGGTCTCCCGATTATAAGGTAATGCTTTGTTGAGTTCTTTGACTATTGAAAGTTACAAAATGATCTTTTCAATTATAAGATAGTGCTTTATTGAGTCCCGACTATTAAAAATTACAAAATAGTCACTCAACTATTCATATGTTCCAAGTTCATCATTTTTCGTTAAAAAAATTAGCGATTGTTTGAACTGGACGTTAGTCTACTCATTAGGATATGATAAAATCTAATCTCATAACTATTTGAGTTGTATTTTGTGGATTTAGTCTTTCTTTACATTATGTTTTGAGCTAGTGCTTATGTCGTCGAACCAATACTTAAAAACAACGAAGGTGTTAGTAGAAATAAATTTTATCATATTTCAATTAGTAGGTATCGAGCTAAGACGACCGCTAATTTTTTTAATAGAAAATGACGAGTTTAAAATATATGAATAGTCAGATGATCATTTTATAACTTTTAATAGTCAATGGACTCAACAAAACATCGCTCTATAGTTTGAAAACCATTTATATACTTTACCTTTAAAATATTTAAATTACATAAAAATTTAAATTTTTTAGAATGAATTATCATCCCTACCATTAGGGACAATTATGACAAGGTTGGGTTTTTGATTTTTTTCAAACTCTACTTAATTATTATAACTCTTTATTTTCACTTGATGTGATTTGAGTTTAGGAAGACTTTATTTGATCTAAAGTTTGATTTAATTTTTAGAGTAAAAATTCATACCAGAGCGATTCAATTCGATAAATATATATATATATATTGTTTTTATTAAATAAAATAAAGATTTAATTGAAAAAAATTAAAAGAATAATTATAATATTATTTCAGATCGAGTAAAAAAAATTCACTCTAAACTTGAACTCGATTAATCCAACCTCTTTAAAAAGATCTAATCTAAACCGAATCGGTTTTCTTAAAGAGTCAACCTTATAAAATAATATCAAAATAAAATTCATCAAATACAAATCAAATGTACATCTTATGTAATACTCTGAATTCATCTCTATTCATATAGTGATCCACTGGCAACAGTTTTCAAGCAGCTCATTTTCTCACTTTTGAAAAGATTTATCACCCTTTTGTTATTGGATTCAAGAATTATAGCTTCCCACTGATTTCTCCTTGTCGTCATTGTTCTAAGATGAATCGCGTGCACAAACCGCTCAACTCGACAACAAAACATTTAAATAGCGGTCCTCGAAATAACAGCTGTTACGTAATAGTAAAGATATCATTCGAAACTGTTATTTTACAATCACAATGCCCGTAACGATCGTAATAGCACTATTACCACAGTCATATTAATCATTTTGGTTTCTCTCTCAGAAGTTTTCCATTGTTTAACTCTAATGGCAGATGATTGGTGTTGGCTTAACTCATTCAAGTCATCGTCATCTCATTAGCCTCAATACATCGATGCCCCTGCGGAAGTACATATGCTACGAGAGTGATGAAGGACATACACTGTGATCATGTATTCGTGTTGCACATACTGCTGTTATGGAATAATCTACTTATGTATTTAAATTTTTTTAATATATTGATTTTGATAATAAAAAAGATTATATTCAAATATTCAAATCTATTATATATTTTAAATTTTTTTAGATATGTTAAATCTAAATATTGAATGATTCCTAAAGTAATATCATCTACGTTAAAAATAATATTTGAATATTAAATCAAATTTAGTATAAGTAATAAATGAATTTAAATTTTAAGGCAACCATTTAAATCTGGATTTAGATATCATAAAACTATGAATATTTTATTTGAAATTTTTAAAAATAAATTCTGGGTTAACTACACATTTAAGCACCAAATTATGTGTTAATTTTCTTATTGATCATCTAACTATGTAAAGTATTAGTAATATAGTTATTAAAGTTACTGAAAAATTAAAAAATAGTTAAACATAAATAATCTATGCATACTATTTTTTTTGGTCTTCATGGTGTTAATATCATGGATAACTTGTGTAATATAATATATTTAAGAAGAATCGGAACAATCATAGACTATGAGAAAGATGAAGTTTGAAAATTTCTAATTTGATATTATTTTTAGGTAAACTATACCCATGACCATTTAATTATTACTCTTTTTCATTTTGACAACCGATCTTTCAATTGTTTCAATCATGTTACTTAGTTATTTACGTATTGCTAATTAAGTCACCAGCCATTAATATTTAATAGAGGAGGTAATGAGGTTCATAAAATTTGATATAAGTATACATTTGGTCCTCAATATTTATACATTCTATCAATTTAATTTTAAATTTAATTCAATCGTTATCATAAAACATTTATGTCAACTGCTGAACCTACATATTATCAATCAACACCTGGGATACACTATACCTATGACATGTTTCATGAATGCTTATACGTTCTTCTATTGTGGGAATTTTTTTGGGTGATATTCGGCAACAATGATTTGACGATGATGTTGCCCTCTCTGACCCGTCTCTGGTTAAAAACAAAACCAGATGATATTATATTTTGTTGTATATGTCGGCATCAACACTTGTATTACAATGAAACAAATGGACGTCCACTATTGCTTTTATCTACAGAGTTAATCTCTTGGCTTCGGATTTCCTTGAAAATGTGCACACACAAACAGTTGATTGCGTTTCATTTTATAGCTAATTTCGGGTTTTACGCGACAATACAGGTTTGCAGACGTCGTGATGCATGCCGATTTTAAGAGGTAAATCATCAAGTTGAGTGTGATGATGCTGTTCCAATTATGTTGTTATATGGCATGAAACAACAAAAATATTGTAGGTTAACAAAGGAACACAGAAAGGACTCGGAACGAACAAATAGTGTTCTCCGGCAAATACCCCGAGGAAAGACGTCCTTTCGGAAACGTGTTTTTGGTACATGAGATTGTGCATTGCAAAGGCCAAAATCAATAATTTTTGTAATTTGAGGGATTGCTTTGGAGGGATGAATGGATGGTTACAAATAAAAGCAAAATCCAACGCTTGTGCAATATGTAATATTATGGATGAAAAGGCCCTGGCATAGTGCTTAGGATATTTGTAGTTGAAAACTATCATAATATATATTCTAAGAATAACTAAGATATATATAAAAAAAATGCTTATTACTAAAATTTTTTGCATCAATTCTCCCATCAAAAGTAAAAAGACCTAAGTGAAAAAAAATATAGGTTGGGGACTAAATCATGCATCAAGTCTTAAGATATGAGAAAAATTGAAAATATTATAGAATTACTTAAACATAATAGAAGGGCTTTAGACGTCTAAATTATATTTAAAGTTAATTTTAGATGTTTAAAGGATTTTCCGCTTAAAGTAGGTGTTAAACGTTTTTTTTCTATTATAATTGGGGAATGCTGATTCGGTCAATATCCATCCGCATTTTGAAAATTCCGACTTGTCTCCATTGGAGCAGAAGATGAAGGAGAAGAATTGATCCCTTACAACATCGAACAAATGACGATAAAGAGTTCCCAAAGGCTACAAAAGCTATCATTGTTGTTGCACTTAGAAAAAACTATCATTATTGTTGCACTTGTAACTAATGCAAATAGTTAGAGGCTAGAAAGCCTTAACATTTGCCTTTAACTATTTAACCAAAAAATATCGAACAAACATAATTTTAGAAGTACATTTGTTTTTACTGAAATAGATTTTGAAAATAAAAATATATTTGTTATATTAAAAATATTTTTTAAAAAATATAAAATGAATTATATTTTCTAAAAATATTTTTCATAAATTATTTGTAGATATCTAGATGAAATTGTAATTACTTTTCCTTTAACTTGTAATTACTTTTACATTAATCATCTATTTTACTTTTTTTTTAAAAAAACTTTTTGAAAAATATGTTTACCTCAATATCCTAATCACATTTATTAATTACCATTATAATTCCAACCATATCTTAAAATTACTGTGCTCCTCTTCAAACTCCTTAATCAATACATTTCAATTCCAAACCTAATAATGGTGAGCAAAGTTACTACCTACCTTTCTATTTTTTAGCTTACAAGTCACTCCTCTCCAAATGTTGGTTATGCGATTTGTAACTTAAACCTACCTTAATGAGTACCAACCAACAAAGATTTAAATAAAATATCATTGAAATATTTACGAGCGCAAGATTTTATATTATGAGATACAAACTTAAGGGAGTTATATTGGAAACGAAGGGTATAAATTATAAAATTTTAGAGGCATAAAATTAGATTATCAATACAAAATACAAAACAATATATAAACTATATAAGAAATTGAAATTTCTAGAAAATTGACTGCACCGGTACCCCTCGAACCCATCATATAATCTTTTGTAGGGTTTTGGTTTCTTAGCCAAGGGTTGTCTATAATTTGCCTTGTAGTATATTTCATCTGGTTCTTCTCCAGCAGACAATGTCATACTATCAATGTGAGGCATGGCAGATTGAGGGTGAAGACGATGGTGAACATGATCCGTCACTCTGTCCCGTGTTCTTGATCGAAATCTTTGCTAACATCGTTTGCCATAACACGACCACCGTTCAACGGCTGTTCCTGCCACAGGACGAGTTAACACAGGCCGGCACATCGTGGTCCGCTATATGTAGCAAGCTTTCGCAGATGGGTGTACCTTTTAGCCTTCATGCCACGGTGATGCATAAGATCATCGAATGTGCACGTTCGGCTATGACCGAAACGCGTAACAAGAAACGCAAGAACATACCAATCATCGTCACTCTCGGTCCGGAAAGATGGGCATCGGAGGAGGACGAGGAAGCGAGGGGTGCAAGCATGGGAGCCATTGGATCATTGAAGGATGTTGAAGTTGATGGCAACATGCAGTGTGCTATTTGTTTGGAAGAGATATCGGATGGGTTTGAAGCTAATCAAATGCCTTGCTCCCATGTATATCATCAACTCTGCATCTTAAGCTGGTTGGAGAAGAGTAATCTCTGTCCGCTTTGTCGATTCCAGATGCCTACCTGATCTTTGAAATTGAATCTTGTGCTTTTGTTATTGTTTTTCCTTGTGGTAAACAATTCTAGTCTAGAACTCGGAATTTTTATGATAAAATTCCGAATTTCTTTTCGCATTTCCTCAGTTTTTATATATCAACAATCGAATAAACGAAATAATTTTATTGTCGAAATCGAATAATCGAAACAAAATCGATTTAATCAATTATCATCCTTCATTTCCTATACACTTCCGGTGTTACTTCAGAAGCCTCTTTTTGTTCATATAAATTGGTTGTTCACACCTTATAACACGTTTTACAAGACTGAAACAAACCAAGTAACCTAGTTTCAAGAGAATTCCACAATGAACTACATAATTGTGCATCAATTTTAGGCCATGCTGTATGTCTCTTGGTGATCTCTGTAATCCCATCCCATAAACGAAATAGATATCTTCTCACAATTTCCAATCTGCCGGACCAATCCTTCTTTTTTACGATGAAACCCGTGCTGCAAAATGCTTCTCCAAACCGGTGATCAGTTTCGGCCCCTGCAAAACAGAGACGACAGCAAGCATAGTTGATCATTGCTATTAGAGTTATTATGGGATTTCATCTTATTTATAATGTATCCCACAAGAGAAATGGGAGAAATAGCTTATAGGATAACCAGCAAAGAGCAATTTGATAGAAAACAGTCTAATGAAACCGTGAAAGAACGAAGAACTACACTAGCTGCTTCTTTGAAATTTAATGGCTTCCCTTCTCTTATCAAAGGAGATGACAGTGTTTTTACCATGTCTGAATTTCTACTAGGTTTGAATACAGGAGGCCATCTAAAATGAAGCTTTACCCTCAATCCTAACTCGACGTCGTACATGGTGCTGGTAATCCTAATATTTTGCTACTTCAAAGAGATGGATGGTGCAATCATCGAGCTCTGACATTCATGTTCTTCGCACTAGGTTAAGATCAAGCCTCGGAGCAGCATAGAGAGAGAAGATGAAACACAACATCAAACCGAGGCCATCTATAGTGATGAAACAGTTACTTTCCAAGAAATTCTGTTTGCACTCGGATCTCGGGTTGGGCAATAAGATTCAAAAAGGGGGAATCATTCACTCTTAAAGACCAAGACCACTATTACGGTTTCACCTTAATAATTCAAATTTTGAGCTACGAAGAGAAGGTTTGTTCCTGATGTAAAAATCTGATGGCATAGATCAAATTTCTTGACTCCAATTATCAGAAAACCGGAAGGTCTGGAGAAACGACAGCGTGCAAAGTGGTTAGCTTCTTTTCGGTGAAAGGAAGAAGCTTCCCTGAGTACAAGCTCCTTACAATCCAGCTACTTGGCTGCAATATATAAATACATAAAACTGAAAATTAAAACGAGGAGAAAACAGAGCAATAAAGGTTGAATGGAACGGCTAAATATCTTTTGCAAAAGATGTTGCTCTGTAAGAGATTAATATAATTGGTGAACCAGTCCATGGTTACGAAAACGGCCTCCCTTGATAATAGACCCATACACGATTATAAATTTACAATGAAGGTGGAATGGGCAAAAAAACACTGACCACAGTGGGTATCTTTCTCTCTAAAGCACATTGTCGTAGGTGACGTGATGCCCTATTCTCACCTTCAGAAAAGATCACAGCCAAGGATATTTTCTCAGAATCAAGATTTTGAATTAACCAAAGGAGAGTTCCAAAAACGCGTCCACCTCCATGCTAGCCAACCCAAAAAGAAAATGGTAATAGTATTTGACTTTTGAGGAAAGTGAAAGAAAAGGATATTAAAATCTACAAGCTCGGAAGCTAAAAAAAGAAAAAGGTGGAAAATAAGTTGCAGTTGGAACAAGATTTTCAGCACCCCAAATACTACTACATGATACTCACATCAAGTATAAAGCAGCTTTTGCAACTCACGGAACTTTGAATGGCTTTTGGATTATAGAATGTAGATGAAATGTAAGCAGTAGCATAATGATGCATGTACAAAGATGGGAATATGGCACACCAATACGATCAAATATAATTGAAATCTTTAAAAGCGGCATGTTTAAGAATAACTCAAACCGGGATGAAACAATAGCCAAAAGCACACATAAATTTGGTTACATTAACCCAAGTGTTGAAGAATCTATCAAGTTCCCAATAAGACTAGAAAACTGCTATATAAACTGAACCCTCCTACAAGAACGCCTAAATGCCTTACAGGTGTAAAAACTAAAAAAAATTGTAAACTGCAAAGTATCGTTCTTCAAATACGAACCGACGAACAGCATTTAATCATTAAAACCAATATTGCTTGTAAATATGAATCAATTCTTTGAAGATGAATTTGCACCGACAGAAAAGGTGTTTGGAAGAATTGTTTTACGCGTCTGTTGTCCAATAAAGAATCAACAAATAGCAGATAATCTTGTGAGAACAGGCGTTAATATATGTAGGAACCACTGAAATAATGTGCTTAACCTCCAATTCTTATCCAAAAAAAGAAAGAAAGAAATAATGTGCTACAACAAGAATAATCAAATAGAAGCAAGGTGTCAGCACTAACTAGTCCGTTAAAACCTGAAACTGAAAATAACATTTACCTGGATTACTTTTGCAATTTTGGTGCAGAAATGAGGCTTCCCATGAAGCATAACTCCTATTCCATTAAAAATATAGGCACTGTTATCATGACGTACAGGTTTCCTAATTCTGATAGGTGTAGTTTCTGGTTGATGGAGTTGAACCATGTACCTGCAGGAAAAATAAATAAAAATTGAAGTTTCCATCAGAAACAGTATAGAGGAATGAACTTGACAATAAAAGTCCGAAAAATGAATAGACGGCAGAGAAAAAAGGCATGAATATTGATTAGAAGGCTAGAAAATGGCACATTTGAAGTTTAACTTTGAATCAATTGTCAAATCCACCTTCTTATCATGGATTACTGCAAATTATATTTGTTTATACCCACGATAGCAACCTTATCATGAACACCACGATAGCAACCTATGATAAATTTATGTCAGTGGAATGCTCAAGGCTATTTTAGAATGATAAAAAAGAATGCACGTCATCAATTTAATGGTAGCAATTAACGGTGTTATCAATTTGGACATGTTCATAACTTTATAAAAGTAGAGGGACCAAATTATATGAAAAGTTAAAGGATTATATCCCAAATTCCAGTATAGTAGAGACTAAAACCATATTTAAACCTGATTTCTAAAGTTCCAGATGAAGCTAAAATCTCAAAAAGGCAATTGCAGTAACGAAACTGTCTTTTTAACATAAAACCTAGCCTAAAATTAACAAGTGGCAAGTAAAACTACGATAATAAAGAACTTACTTTGCAGGTGATAACGCAGAACCGGCTGCAATTGAATCAGCAAGCCACTTATCTTTTAGAATTAGTGATTTCACCGCACATGCATACAAGAATTTGATAGTTTGTAGCCGCGACCAAAAAGAAAAAAGATTTCTGACATTTAAAATGCCAGCCTTACAATAGACTAATGTCTCTAATCGACTTGACATCAATTCATCAAATTATACCTTATAAGTTCATAGCACTACCTCACTCATGGTTACCAGAAACAGATCAATATATATATGTAACATAAAAAAGTAATGAAATTAACAAATTATAGCTATTTATTATCTTCAAAAACCACTATATCAGCAAGATTCTTTACACGATTTTTAAGTAATTATTTGATCTTTTGGAGATTGACACCATAGGTCTTAGCATCGGGGAAGGGAATCATGAAAGAAACAAGGTTGTTAAACTACCCGATGCTATTTAAAAGGTGGAAATATGGTGAGCTGTTATGTTATCTTTAGGAATCCTTGCAGCACTGTTAGGTGGAAATATGGTCAAATCAAATTCTTTTTGAAATTTAATGTTGTAGATCACTCAAGTTTGGATATTTTGGGTTTGGGTTATTCAAATTTGGATCAATTCAACCTAAGTTGGTTCAGGTTGGACTTACTGGGGTTCAAATTGTTGACTTTCCATGATCATCGAGTTCTAGTTCAAGTGGGCTTGGCAGGTTTTTGGGTTTTGTATCGGAATTGGCAGCTCTATTTGTACTATACTAGATATAATACAAAAATACCAGACAAACAATCCAAACCATGGTAGACCCCTTATCAGTTCTCAGAAATCATACCAACTCGATTCCTGCTGAAACAAGTAAACAGACAGTAATATCTCAAGAGATCAGTAAAGGAAAGGAAATTTTAACAACCAACCTTCTTTCGGCATAGAATGATAGGAAGCTGCTGAAACTTCTTCCTTGAACATCTTTTCCCCCCTGTTTGAAGGAGATGGGATATCAACCAGAACAGTACCACCGTATTTCCATATCAATCCTTCAATTTCTTTTTCCTGCCCTCTAGAAAACCCTGTAAGCAGAAATTTTATATCCTGAAATAACAAACTCTTCTGATTCCTCAAGTGTAGTGTTGAGCTCTTCTGACCGTCTCGAATTTGAGCATCTGATTTAACCCTTTTGCTAGGTCTTGATGCAGAGGCTACAAATAAAATAAATACAAGAAATTAACAAAAGTGTAGTGAAATGCTATGCTTATTATAAATATAGAAGTATTACATTTTTGGTACAAAGATTGTCGCTTGGTGAGCTCTTTGTTTTGCTGAAAATTGACTTCAATTTCTGAGAAATCAACCCTTTTTTCTTGATGGATTTCTCATACCATTATGGCACTCAGCTTGCATCCCTTGACGATTATTGTCCGAGTTACGAAAGACTAAGACATCTTCTGCAATAGCCTGTTCAGCATTTGCCTTTAAATCACAATCCAAAAGCTTGGTTGCCTGTAGTCTCTGGCTCATCCTTTGTCGTAGAACAAGAAGCGAGCTCTTTCCCATGGATGGCTGATCCTGCACCTCAGTGGTATCCTTAGCATATTCATAGTTCTTATCATTCATTCCTTCCCCATCTGGATTATTCACTGCAATAGTTTCTTCAGCATCTTGACCACTTGTACACTCAGGTATGGAGCATAGAGCCAAGTACATCTCAGAATCTCTTTTATCACAAGATCTAATTCCACTGCTTCTGTCTCTCAAATCTAAAGAGGTTAATTGATTAACACAAAGACTTTGACTTCACAAAATAGAATCATTTTCATGCGAAACTTTACTGTATGTTTTAAGTGAGGTCGCCTGCCTCAGAACTTTTGCTGCAGAATATGCACCATCAAATTCGGAAAGAGCTTGTCTGGTCTCAAAGATAGATTCAACATGCATATTCTCATTCCGAAGTCCTACCGAGTCTGGACAATTTCCCGCACTACCTTCTCCATAATTTTTATTCTGACCTGATGTAGTGCCAGTATTTTCCGAAGAAATGCTGCAAGGAACAGTGGAACAAAGAGAATCCACCAAGGACGGATAAGAGCATCTCACATCTTGGGAAACATAAAACCCTCGTCAACTCGGCGAGGTAAACCCTCAAAGTGTACACTTCGATCTGAAGCTATGTTAGATCTCTTGTTTTCACACTTCCTGACCAATGAGTTTTCATCAGGTGCAACATCTGCAGATTCAGAGAAGAAACTAGTCTCAGCAGCAAAACACTTTGTGATATATTTGTTTTTCGGTTTTGGCTGTTCAGTATCAGCTTCCTGCTTATGAGATAAACAAAGAAACAAAAAAGGAAAGCCAAAATTAGGAGATTTTAAATATTAAAAGAGAGAGACATCAAATGAGTAATGAATATACATGTATTTGCCACAAATATTAAGAAACAACCTGAGCAAAGTAAAATAATCTTTGACAACAGATTCGGAAATAAACGAGAAAGTATAACAAGCTTACTACCAATTTGAACAGAAAATACGGTGATAAAACCAAGGAAAACTTCAGAATGTACTGGAAAAATGCTACCCCAAAGCATGAATATTCATTTTCATAAATTACTAAGATAATTACAGTGGCTACAGTTACAGTTGTTTTCCCCCCGTTCGTTAAAACAGCAAACTTTGGCATTTATAGGACAACAAATACAAACTAAAAATAAAACTCAATAACGAAGGGGCCCGAGAGATTCAAAGATCAATAGAAGAAAATGAAGCACGTACCTCCCCTGTCCAACCGCCAAACCAACGACTCCTGAATTCATCAGTGACAAATGGACTTGCACTATCTTCCCCTGCAGAAGATAAAATGGACGGAAATATAGGACCTTTAAACATAGTGATTATATGTTTAGAAGAAAAGAGGCTAAACTTTGGAAAAATAGATATTCTCACTAACATTCTTCAGATTACATAAATCGAGACAATTTAAATCAGCCTGAGATGGAAAAGAAGCATCCTCCATTGAGAAGCCAACTCTCTGAAAGTATACCAGAATTAGTCATCCAGAAGACAAATGCTAGAAAATCACTCTGATTCTAAAAAATTCTAAGGTCCCATCTTAACTAAATTTAACCACTAATTTGGGGAAAGAAAATAGTTTTACATATCACCTTTTCTTCTTTATTGATTTAGCATGGAGAAGTCAGTAGACGATAAGATTTCAAGTCTTTTACCTCTTCTGTTGCTCAAACATGTGAACTATCCTGGACCATCTCAAGCAAAATTGGATCAGAGCTCTTTAAGCTAGAAGTTGGATCATAAGAATGTTTATTCTGAGGAGAAATTTTTTCAGCATTTTCGGTTCTGTTCCCACTCCCAAAACAATCTCCGGATACAGGAGTTTCTTTGACTAAAGATACATCTGAACCACAAGCATGCAGAGTACTAAAGCAATTGAAAGAAAATCTAACATCTTCGAATGCATCAGCCATGGTGAAATCATCCGACTCTGAAAGAAAGTCCATCTCATCACTTGTCTCAGTTGGGCAATCAAATGCACATTCTGAGCTCTCCAAGCGTGCTTGCTTAACCTGAAGTAAGCACATTGATGAACCTCGTTAAAATTCTTTTGTTCTTTCCGTTTTCTTTACCCGATTTATTCAACACTTCAGATGCGGCAATGGAGAGTTCGACTACATCTTTAATATCAGTGCTTTTGCGGTTTCTGACAGTGGCTTTTTCTACAGAACGCTCACTGCAACCATCGGTGTGATTTGATGATTGTCCACCAACATCCTCCACCTCTCTTGAGATGGAAACCATAGGCAAGGTATTTACCCCATAAACACTATCTTTGGTCTGTATCAGGTCAGTCTTTTCTCCAACATTCCCCACATATCTTGAGATGGAAATCACAGGCAAGACATTTACCCCATAAGCACTACATCTAGATCACAGCAAACAAGGTAGAAACAAGAGTTTATTCATCCTTTTGGATTTAGACATACCAAAATCTTTATTTAATCTAATATTATAGGTAATGTTTTAGTTATTTATATTATTGATTTATAATATTTTAATCATTAAGAAGCTATATGTCATTTGTTTGATTATGTGATAAGACAGTAAAAAGAGTTGATTTTTAATTTGAATTTTGAAATTTAGATAAAATATTAATTTAATTTTAAGTTTGAGATGAAATATCAATTCGACACATGAGTTTTAGATAAAATATCAGTTTCATCTCTGAATTTGATGAAAGTCCCCCGCCACCCTTCGTCGCTCACTACCATCATTGGTCATTGTCGATCACCATCGACCGTCATCGTCGATGATCTTTGGACCCTAAAATTTCTAATTCACTTTTTTTTTATCTTGTGAATACATATTCAATGTATATTTCATTGAAAAATGTTTCAAACTCCACAATAACCTAAAACTCCATACTTTTTTTAAAAATTATACCATAATAATAAACTTATCATTAATATTCTTTTCATGAAGAAGGAAATTTTTTTTTTGTTGAATTTCAACCGATGGTTCATCTCTTCGATGAACAATGATACTTTACGAATATTTCGGGGTTAAGGGCATGGACGACAACAATGCTACTGATGATTTGGGTTATTTCTCCGAAAGATTAGTTCGGGCAAATGGCGGAACCATAGCTTGGTGAGAGTGGACACGTGTTCATCCTGAAATTTAAATTTTCTTCGATTAGTTACTTATGTTATTGATGATGCCCACCTTCAAATTTTATTTGTACTCATTCCATTTAAAAAATTTATATTATTAATATTAGTATATCTATCTTGAAAAATATTTTTAGATCCACTATTGGTTCGGACAACGAGTTATCATGAGAGGATGACAGACCCGACCCAATACATGTGTCAGATGAGCCTTAGCCCAAGACATCATGTTTGAGGGGGCATCAGTTACAGATTCGATGTTTATTTTCTTTAAAAAAAGCCACCCTTTTCTCTTGGTTTGCCGACCTCTGTGTGCTCTTCTGTCTTCTTCGTACCTTTTGCTCTTCCACTTGCTTCGTCCTTTTGATTCATTACAAACAGCAAGCTAAAGTCCCATTCTTTTGACTTAGGTTGAGTCCAGTCTTAGCTTCTATTCTTCTCTGTCGTGTATTTTAAGGTACCCCCATTGAAACTTCTGTATAAAGGGATATACTTTGTCTTGTTTCAGATATAACATCTGTT